TATCCAACAGCAATCTCAGTATCGGTGAGATGAGAAGGGTTAATGAGATGAGTTGATTGGTTAATTGTCGGGTTACTCCTTTGTGGTTCCCCAAAACCTATAAGAGTCTAATAATGAGAAATCAGAGAAAAGTGTCTTTAACCCTACAAATGGGTTGGGCAATCTGGCAGCTACCATTTCTATTCAGTTATTTGGTTGATTCCTTTGTTTATGCAAGATTTTGATGTTATTCTTGCTTTTTACTGTATTGCACGTACTATTTTACTACTTACATAAGCTATAAGTTTAGAATCTTTCTTTCATTCGGATTAAATTGAAACTTTCAAACTAAAATGAATAATTTGCTTATCAAAGACAAGTTTTGCTTCAGTTTTTGGCTTTTTCATAAAATTTTTAGCAAATTTCACGGAGAAATTTGTAAAATGCAAATTCTAATGAAGCGAGGCTGTAGTTGTATGTTGTAAGTTAGGATTTTAAAAAACCAAAAGACTTTGTCGTGTTTCAAATTGCTCACCTATTCTTGAACTTTATTATTTTCCCAATCTGATGATTCTATTTATCTTTTCTTCAGGATTAGAATCGTTTTCTGAAAAAAAAAGTGGAATGCAAACTATGCAAGCAAAAAAAAAATCCATGTTTCAAGTTCGCCGGGGATCAGACTACAGTAGAAATTTGAATAGAGCAGTCCTCAGGAATCAGGATCAGAGTTAACAGAAAAGTCAAATTTTCAGACCAAGCAAAGCCAAAGCCAAGGCTTTAGGCCAAAACCAACGGTAAAAATTGTGATTCCAGGCCAATGCCAATTGAAAACCATTGGCTTTGACTTGATTTGCCTTTGGCTTTTTTTGCCAGCCCTGGTCTGTATTCAGATTCCTGTATTCAGCTTACCAATAGCAAGTTGTCCTTAATGTTTGATAAGTTTGAAGGCTTTCTTCTAAAATTCAATATTGTAAGTTTCAAGCTTGGTACGTAGGGTGACTTTATTAAAGCTTATAATCTTTCTTTGATTCGGATTAAATTGAAACTTGCAATTTCCTCCCGATACACCAAGTGGCGATTGCGTGTTCGAAACTTTCGTGAAACAATAGTTTTGGGCAGCTAAATTGAAACTTTCAAATTGTAACTAGAGTTTTTATAAAAATCCGTCTGCTAAAGGTTCCATTTTCCCATTAACCCCGAAATTGGCAACTTATTAAATTTCGGCTTCCACATGGTAAGTCAAATAATTTGAAACAATGTTTTTTTAAATAGTCAGAGTCGAATTGTTAGTGCCAATTGGACAATTTTCTGTTCTACGTTCAAGTTTTAATAAAAGACATTTCGCTGGTGTGGAAAAGATCTTTTACACTATTTGAGTAATTGGAAATATTGTATAAGATTATTTAAGCATGAAAAGAAGAGCGACCAGTTTTGAGGCAATCTTTTAAAACTCAAAAAAGTTGAAACTTTGTTTAAAAGAAAAAAACACTCAACGCTTTTGCAAGCAAACAATTATTTCCTTGAATGTTTTTTTTAAATTTCTGCCAACCCTTGAAATATTTAAATTTAATTCAGAAAAATTTGAAACTAACTCCAGCAAAATTAAGAAGTTAATCGCAAAATGGGCGAAGAGTCAACTTTCCATTGGTAAGCTGAATAACTTTCAACGTAGAGGCATTAAGATTCAGCTATAATCCAGTGTTTTATTAACTTGAAACATGATTTTTCAAAAACCTTGATAATTGGCTAAACCGATTCACTAAAATTTAGAGTTTTAACTTAAACGATTCAACGATTATCTTTAATAATTGAATTCACCAATAGTTTTTGTAGCATTTGAGATTTGCAAAGCAATGGAAAATCGAAGAATCAATGAAGAATTAAAGTTTCCATAGAAAGATTCGTTTCAAAGTTGACAGCTTCAGAAAGTCTTTCAAATTTCTAATGCATTTAAAACACTAGCCAAATCCAAGACCAATAAAACATTCAAATTTTTGCCCAAAATTCCCATAAAATCCCACCATTTGCAAAGTGATTTACCTTCATCTCCATTGAATGAGTTGGCTCGTTAGTTGTGTCGGTTACCGCCGTTGTTCCTTTTTCCATTCATTTCACCCTGAGAAGTCATTGCCCTAGACCCTGAAAAAGACAAGAAGGACAGGAAAAAGACAAAAACTAGGTCATTTCTTTTCTCCTTACCCGAAAAGGCTTTTTGCGAGCGGACAAATGGATCACCGATCGCCCACAAAGAGACTCATCTTGTATGGATGATTCGGGATATCCAATTGATATTGATATCAATGGGATTGTGGTTACTATTGTGTTCTAGAGGATTAGTACAGTAGGATGATGGTTTTGTTATCTCATTGTTTAACGAGTTTCGTTTCTTACTCCGTTTCAACTGAGCTTTCCCGTTTTCTATGCCCAAATTCTTGGCATCAATTTTTGCCTTGATTTGACTCGATTTTAGCGACAAATTTTGATTCTTGTTAAATAGCGGTATAACTACAGTATTCCTTTCCCCAAAATTTCCCCATTTTCCTAAGCATTAACATTTCCGTAATATTCAACAACTAATCAATGGGGTCAACCCATTAATCCATTAATTCCTTCAAACATTCACAATACCGATATTTTCTCTTGAATAGAGTAATGTTAAAGCAATCGTTATCAGAGAAAAAAACGGTTCTCCTTGAAGAATTTCTTTCTAATAACGGTTCTTTTCTTTGATTTTTTTCCGACACTCGTTTCCCCCATTTTCCCAGACGGGTTTTCTACATTTTCTTCGGTGTTCGGGCAAATGTTCTTAGACAAAGTCTTGCCTAGTTTCGAAATTTGCTTCTAAATTTCCAGTTTCATTAACAATTCTTTATTTGATTCTTTTTAAAATGTTGCTTTTTCCCTTGCAATATTCTGAGATGAGGCAATTGAAGCTGTTTTTTTTTGCTTGAGTTTTGAAATTCAACAGTTTCAATCAACTATTAGCAACTCTTTATTTGATTGAATTTTTGATTTGAATTGCAAATTACCTTTTTCATCCTGAGTAAAATCAATCGAATTTAAATTTGACTGAAAATTTTCAGTTTCAAGTTTTACGCCTTTTACTTGGAAATGAAGATGTTAAAGAATGTGCAATCAATCAAGAATGTTTAGCTAAATCAAAAACGAAAAATAGATTTGTAAAATTAAAATATCAATTCTTTATAAACTTTCCCATGTCGTTTTTAGCACGAGATTACATTTTAGCTTAGAAGAGGCGAAAGAAAAGCCTGTGTTTCGAAATAATCAATTTCATGGGGAAATTTGGTGATTTTAATGCATCAGGGGGATCTGCGGTGAGTCAAAATGTTGAATTTTCATTTACTTTTGAAAGTTTCATTAGATTTTGGCTTGGGTTTTGCCTTTTGGCTTTAAAGAAGTGAAACCAAAAGTCCGTGTTTCAAAATAATTGACTTCAAGTCAAATTTGAGGATTTTAATTCAACGATCGGTGAGTGAAAATACCGTAAAAGCTCTAATAGAACGGCCACCTATAGGAGCGTCGCGTAGTCTAAGTTTACTCTCAAACAAACGCTCGTATCTCGACACCAGTACGTTTGTTTCTGCGCACTTAGGTATCAAATTAAAGTAGAGAGGATGAGTGATTTTTCGAGCTATAACATATATTTTTAGCATTAACCAGCGCTTAGAAAAAATGATCGAAAATCGGCTCTTTTTTGCTACTTTTCAATCATTTTTTCTAAGCGATGGTTAATGTTAAAAGTCTGTATTATAAAAACTCTTGAAAAAGTAGCCATTTAAAGTGCTCAAATCTCGTTTTTTCCCTTGTAAACCTATTGACAATGAGATAAGCTTTAATTTTCATTATTTTACCCAAGAGTTACCCATATTCTCAACTTTTCCTTAGGTGAGAAAGTCGATTGAATGAAGCTATTCGCCCAGGGATTAAATGTGTCTTCAGAAAGACGGAAAGAGTTGAAAGAAAGTTTCAGAAAAGGTAAAAAGGATTCTTTTGTGAATCCTTTTTGTCTTCTTTCCTCCCAAAGCCTATCTGGGAATGGCTGTATTTGGCGCCCTTGAGAGGGGCGGACGCAGAGGGGAACAGATCGCTCGAATGCACCTTTATCCACCTCCCTTTATCCCTTTCCCTAACACAACTTGGATAGGCTTTTCTGTTTGAGGATTTGTTACCGAACGCTTTTCATCAAAGCCTTTTCAAAGCTTATTCCAGCTTTTTTTGGTTTTAACCTTTTCGATTGATCGATTGATTCGAAAGTTCTTTCTAATTGTAAGCTGTTTAATATTGAATCTAGCCAATGAATCTAATGCAGACAGCTTAGCAAAGAGTTCTGGTACTAATGGATTTAGTGCTCGATCTAGTCCTGGCCTACTTTGAAATGAAACTGACAGTAACGGATTCAACTCTTGCATCAAGTTGAAAACACTGTTGATAGGGCAGCTTGTAATTCGACAATTATGTACTTTTGGATTTTAAATTTAAACTTTTTGAGCAAACACCTTGAAGGCCCATTGAAGCTGTGAGTGCTTATCGATAGCTGCAACATTTGAAACTTGCAGTTTCTACTTAATTTCCTTTCAGCAATCTAATAATCTCATTCAATGCAATATGAATGAGAGTGAATGGATTACCATTACTCGAAATCAAAAGCATCACAACTACATTGAGGTTTTGAAAACCAAGCACTAGCCACGACTTTTGAAACTCGCTAATTTTTTTCATTTTATTTCAGTTTTTCAATTCTTTTTCTTCTTACCCTTCTTCTGCTTTAGAAAATATATTTTTAAGGCTTTTGTTTCGACCTTTTATATGAATAGCTTTCTCTAGATCCTTTTTAAACGGCTTTGCATGAAAAAGAATCAATTTTAAAGTTGAAACTTTAAATGAATCCTACAAAGCTTTTTTACTCTTTCAAAACGAAGCCATTGCTTGAAAAAAATCTCTTTCTTGAAATCATTCCTCAACTTTGCAGTGATCTTTTCAAATATTTCATTTTCAGAAGGATGCTGGCGACCGGACCGGGTCGGCCACTTTACGGCATTTTGGCCTTTATTCTCCTTTTTGCACCTCTAATCTCAGCCCATATTCGCCTCGTTTTCCCGCCCGCCCGTCAACCGGCACTCGACTCTTACTCGACGTCAAATGCTGAACCGCCATGTGGAGTGCCAAAACCACCACAGGGACAAGGTTGGTGAAAAATTCACATCATTTTGCTGTCCTGTTAAACAGCAATTCTCGCGATTATGTATCGAGAATTACTATTTAAACCCCAACAATAAGGCAATAACGAAGATCCATTACTTACGGCAACTGCAAAATGTCTTGATCAAACTTGAAACCTTTTATCTCAAAAGTTTTTCGGTTACTCGGTAATTAAAAAGTTGACCCCAACTAAGATAACTTTCAACGTGAAACTTTAATTAAAATATACTGTAGTTCGAAAATTGTAAAATCGTTTTTGATTCGAACCTTCCGGCAATTGCAATTCGATCGACAATTGCAATTCGATCGGCAATCGTTTTTGATTCGAACCTTCCGGCAATTGCTTAGAAACCAACCCGAATTTCCCTGAAAGATTTTGAGCTTTTTGAAATTTCTCATTTTTTCTTCAAAAATACCTGTTCCTTTCATAAACATCCCCTTTTCGATCGGACTCGAAATTTTTTGAGTTTCAAGTTTTCCCGAGCAAAAGCAAAGATGAGTGGCTAGACAAACAGGTGGCGAACACGTTTTTTGAAAACTATTAGACCTAAATTTTAATGCTTATGTAAAAATTGGGAAATTTCGAATTTATGCAGTTGCAAAACGGCTGTAAATTCATTTTTTTCACTTATAGATAAAAAATCTAAAAAATAAACACTCAGAAGGGAATTCATAACGTAATTTTTGACTTGAAGATAACCGGAAAACAGTAAACGTCCAGTAAAAGATTAAGGTTTTGTTTTTCGCAGCCAAATTGAGTACTTTGAAACACGTATTTCTTAACGATATGAATCAGGAAAATCAATCCCGATAAAGAGTTTATCCTGGAAGTCACGGGATCGATTGAAAGCGTTAAATTGACTTGTTTCTAATGTTTGTAGATCTTGTTCTGGTTCTTGTAGAGTACACTAATGAACAATGTCAAAATCGTGCCTAAAATCCAAAATCTGTAAACAAAAAGTTTATCCTGGAAGTGACGGGATTAACTTTGAAACACGTAATTCTTAACGATATGAATCAGGAAAAGGAATTGTGATGAGATCAATTGTAATATACCGAACAATACTGAACTAGCCATTTTCACTTTCTACTTATATTGGAGCACTTTGAAACATATATTTTTTAACGGCTCAAATTTTTGTTAATTTTTGTCGTTCAGGTTTTTCTGTCGTTTACTAAAGTTTTCAAATCCAATTCAAAGTTGAATTAAAAAACTTTAGTAACTATTTGAACCATAAAATTAACCCAAAAGTAATCCAAGATTAACCCAAAATTAACCCAAAATTATTTGAGCCTTTAAAAAATATATGTTTCAAAGTAATCAAATATAATACGAAAGCCAACATAGTTAGTGGTAAACCATCAATACCAATACTCATCAATTCCGGAAATCTTAAGTTTAGTCCCCAAAATCGCAAACAACGTAACTAAAGTGTTTGAAACTCCTCTGAAAAGCTCAATTTGAAACCTAGTTTAATTTTTAAACCATTTGAAAAGATCAAAGAAGAATCAGTTCATTTCCCAAGATCTAAAGCAATTCCTATTGTAACTTTTGACAGTACAACAAGTGAAACAACGAAATCACGACTACTTCTCACTAAAATTTACTTTCCACAACGAATTTGCGTTCTTATCTAACCTATCAAATCCTCGCCATCATCATCAAAAAGCTTCCCAATCATCTTATCAGAGTTTAATCATTTTCGGGTCTATATCAATTGTTAAAGGTTTTCAAAGCGAATTCAGAGAGTTTCAAAATTTGGAATCTTGTTACTTTTGCTCGTGTTCACTAAATTACAGAGTTCTTGGCATTGCGTACTTTAAAACATAATGTTTTTCCTCAATTTAAATCATTTCCAGCTCTATTTTGAATGCCAGTTGTTAAAAATGTTCAAATTTTATTTACTTTTTTAAACTATCGAATCTAAAACCTAAATTTTCTTAATTGTAATTTTAATTTTACAATTAAGTCAAACATTATTTGTATTATTAAACTGGAAAGTGGTGCTGATGCTCATTTTTTTCACTTAGCCAACTTTTCATATGGTTTCCGGATCTATTCCAGCATTTAATTGTTGAAAGTTTCAATTTTTATCGAAAATGACTCATTTATCCAATTGAAAGCACTCCTTTCTGACTCAATTATCGTCTCTTTGTCCTAAGATCCTAAGAATCGTTTGGAACAAAGAAGAAGAAGAAGAAAAGAACCCGTTCGTTTCCCAAGCGATCGTAAATCCCTGAACACTCACAGGTAGGCCGGTTATTTCTGCCGTATGAACCACTTTTGTGATTGGATTTACGCCAAGGGCATTTCTTGGGAAAACCGGGAATAACAAAGTGACAAAGTAGCTCAAAATGGTACTATTAACCTCGTAAAATTTTGCATTTAAGAAGAGATCGTGCTTAGTAAATAAAGTACTCTAAAAAAAGGTTAATTTATCACTAAAAACGTTGTACAAAATGCGTTGTACAAAAAACGTTGTACAAAAAATTGAGCCCATAAAATTTAAATCCATAAAATAAACACTGGGAAATTAGATGCTGGACCTGAATATGATGTCGGTTTTGAGTAGACTCGGCCTAATCTAACCTATCAAATCCTCGCCATCATCATCAAAAAGCTTCCCAAAATTGTCTAGATTCGACAAGATGCCCTACAAACATTACTTCATCTCATTTTCGGCAAAATATTCATTATTTTGAAACACAGGCTTTTTTTGATTCACCAAATAGTTTAAAAAGAACACTTTTTGTCAAAAATTGGTTCTCAAGCGTTGGTTTATTAGTCCAATTCCCTTTGAAACTTTAGATTTTTACGATCAAACCAGGAAAGCTAAATGTTTTCTGGAGTAAAGAAAATATTGGCGAGCAAATCAACGCTCAAAGAAAACTAATCACTGAGCCTTTAGCTAAGAGTTGACCCTTTTGAAACACCAACTTTTGGGACTTTTTGATTTTATTGCTGGGGCCACGATTTTCCTTGCAAAACCACCATTTCTTGGGTAATTCTATGCGTTTATTTAGGAGTTGGGAGTTAGCTAGGAGTTGCTAGCATCGCTAGGAGTTGGAAGAACGCAAGTTAGATCGAATTTTGCTAATTGAATCGGTGAAACTCCCCTTCATTAAGTATCAAGTACCAAATTTCTATCCAAATACTTTGAAACTTCAAAAATTTACACGCGGTTTTGTTGAAAACTTTGATTTTCTTGGCTTTTTACAGATTTTCCACTAGTTTTTGTCGTAAAAAAGGTAAAATTTGAAAATTTTCCCTATCAAATCCAAGCATTTCTCAAAATCGATTTATCCCAATAAATCATCGAATCTTTCAACGCTGTTTGTGGAAAAAAACAACTGAAAATTGGGTCACTTTGCTTCTCTTTGTTTTAAAAAGCACAAAAAAATTTGATTCAAAAAAAAATGCGAAGAATTTGCTTCGAAAATTCTTGACCATGACCCTATTTTTCTTGGGGAAAAGGGAAAAAACGGTGATTTCTTGTCAAATCAAATCGAAAAGGACAATTTCCATTGAGACTTTAAATGGAAATTTGTAGGTGGGAATTGATGGGAATTGGATTTGAAAATTGAAACGGGCAAGTTGAAAAGTTGAATTAAATCCCACTTTTTGAGCAACAGAAGTACAGAGATCATATTGATTTATTACCATATCGAAAAGTCCGATTTATCCGAGTGAACTTGAAACTTTGTTTAGATGAGGTGCAGAATTTGAAAAATTAAATCAAACTACCAAATGCCTAAATATTATCTTCCCAGAAATGAGCTTTATCCGAAGAAAGTTGAAACAAAAACTCTTTTGACTGGGAGAAATTTTGGAAAGAAATATGGAATGAAACTTTATGATTGACATTGTTTTTAAAAATTCATTTTCCAGGCGTGCACACTTTCCTCCAGGCCGGCTCCGAGGTCGACGTCGAGTGGATTAACGCGATTCCACACATGGTAGTTTTTTATATTTTTATCTTTTTGCTACGAATTTGGTGTCTCAAGCGAGATTTGATCACAATTAGAAAGTTTCAAGTTTAACGACTCTAGTGGGGTTAAGCTATGCTAAGTAGACAAAAGAAAAATTTAAAAACCAGTGTCATATTAATAGAACAAAAACTAAAAGCTAAAAACTTCTCTAATCCCTATAAACATTGAAACATTGAAATTGTTAGGTGAAAATGTGCCTTGATTCTTTCATTTTCCTGAATTTACTTTGATTTCAAGTCTTTTCAAAAGCTGTGTTTCAATTTATTCATTACTCTTCAAGATTTTCAGGCTTTATTGTACTCAAACCAAAAAGAAATACCAGCTCAACAATTCTCAACGATAAATGTCTTTAGTGTACTTTGTTATCTCAAAACTTGTAAACACCACCCTCCTGGCGCACTCAATTCTTCCATTTTCCCCTCACAGCAACGATTTGGTGTAACGGGGAATGAAAGAATTAAGTGCACCAGAAAGGGAGTGCTTAGGCACAAAGTACATCAGATTCTCATTCTCCATAGATCTTATCATCTTCTCTCGATCACCGATTGACTGTCGTTTCCCCCTTTCATTAGACTAATAACTTCTTTTCCTCCCTTTACGAGTAATCCCTTCCCAAAGAAAGATCGATCATTTGATCAGCTTTTTACCCATACCAGGCCAAGGTCACTATTTTCTTGGTGCGTTAGTAAGTTTTTAGATTATTAGTCAAAATTTTTGGTCTAAATCATTGCTGAAGAATGGGCAATTGAAAAGGAAAACTTATGTTTCAACTCAGTTAATTAAAAAGAGAATTAGCTTCTTTCAATCAGCAACAAATTATTTGTAGCAAAAAAAGCTATTGAGTTTCAAAAATTCCCAACTACGAGATGAGATCAAATTTTGTAATTTAGCTGCATTCAGGAATGGTTGTAATTTTAAAATTACCCTTCTTTTTTAGTTGATAAAATCTAATTAGTCTAGTGGCTGAGTACAATTTGTTAGTTTCAAGTTTTCTAATCCCAAAAACGGATTGCAGATTGCTAATAGAGAAACTTTTGACCTTAGAGGACTTTTGATAAGGATAATCTTGTGGAAAAGGTTTTAAATCACAAAAAAAACCCAAGTTTCAATGCTTGGGTTGAGAATTCGAAACGAACAAAAAAGCTTTCGACACTTTGCGTCGACACTTCGACAAATTGGAATGGTTTAAAAAAATTCAGTTAACTTTAAAATTTGCAAGTTTCAATATTACTTAGTTCGGAGAAACTAATAAGGGGTCAATAAATATTTGTTAAAGAAATCTTAAACCAATTCCCCTTTCCATTAGACTTACTTTTCTTAGAAAACAAATTGTCATCTCTACAACAGCTTCTCCAACCAATTGGGCATCAGTTTCTCCAATAAAACCCATTTTTTTCGATATTGATATTGATTTTCAAATGAAAATTGATAATTGATATGATAATGATTCAAATAATAATGATTTCAAATAATAATTTCAAATAATAATTTTCAAACAAACTTTTAAAGTTTCAACTTTATTCAAGTACAAAAGTGGAGGGAAATTTTTAATCTGCGAGTTTCCAGGGCGGTATCCGAATCGAGGTGCTGAACGCGTTGGATCAACCGATCGCTATCTTCACGAATTTCATCGATCCCTACAATATCTCGTGAGTTTTCTTGAAAAAGATAGCTTAGTAGCTTGGTTATAAATTAAAGAAATGAAAAACATTCGTTTACTAGAAGTTACTCTTACCAAGTTGAAACGTAATTCCTGATCGGTGTACTTTGTGCTCTAAACTCTTGCAAAACACACCCTTTCTGGCACAATGGATGAAACAACAATACATACACATTTCCTATGATCCTAGGGGTACCTGTATTAGCTCCAGTGCTCCAGAAAGGGTGCGTTTACAAGTTTTGAGAACACAAAGTACACCTTAACGAACGGCTAAATTGATTGAAGATTGCAAGTTTCAAAGTAAATCGGCTCCAAAACGGGGTCCGGTTCTTTAATAAAGGTTGAGAACCATTTAACTTGCTTCTAAACGCACCCAATCTAGCGCACCACTGAGAATCCGACATTCGCCCAGCTTTACAGCTTATTACAGTACTTCAAAATAAAATATTGGTCAGTTAGAATGAATTGGAACTATAATGTTTCAAAGTAAATAGAAATTAGGGTCAAAAATAGGAATGTAATCATGTTTGCGGTGGTTGTATTTATTCTAAAGCTAACCTTTTGTCTAATCACTCGAAATTTCAGCCATCCCACGAAGAAAATCTCTTTGCCGAAGCAGTTCGAGTGCCAGAATTGCGCTCTCCGCCTCTCGCATCAGGCCACCGAGTACGGCACTGAGTACCAATTCTTCTCCTGTGCTGATGTCAATATTGTCAACAGTAAGTGCTACTGAAACATTAAAAAAAAGCCACTTTTGAACTTCTTAAAAAATTCCTTTTTGTCGCGAAGTGGCATTATCGCGTCGACTCCCGGTTTTTTCGTGGCAATTTTGAAACTTCGGGTTTTTTCCTATAAAATATGAAAATGCATAGCTAAATTTAAGATTTTTTTCGTTCTTTTAACAACAAAATAGTCTACTGATTGCATATTGTTGTTGATTTTCCAGTTTAGCGACATTTGAACGCCATTTGAACATTTGCTTTTATTAGATTTAGATTTTAGATTTTACTTCTCCTTGCTTTTTTCATCGAACCAGGTTTTTATTGACAACCATACTTTAAACCTTTTAAAACCAGTTTTAAAAAAACCCAGTTTCAAAATCGACGACAAAAAGTCGGGCTTAGGGGAATCAGTTACATAAAGTTAAATAAAGTTGAATAAAGTTGAATAAAGTTAAATAAAGTTAAATAAACTATTTAAATAAACTTAAGAATGGAATTTGTATGCAAAATATCTGTGAAAAAAGATCCTCGATTATATTTATTTGTTTATGCTTTTATTTTACACAAAAAAAGTTATATCCTGAAGAAAAAGAGACTTTAAACCTCTGTAAAACGTGTTTTGAAAAGTCAAGTTTCAAAATTGAATATGGAAATCGCCGATTTTATCACAAAATCCCAACAATTCGACGTTACAGCTCAATTTTCAGCGATTCCCGACGGTGACTCGTGCTCGGGAAATGGACAACGCATGAACGGAGAATGCGAATGCGATGACAAATTCACGGGCAACTATTGCCACATTGAGAACGAGTGTGCTCAGGTTTGAACATTATCTTTGCCCAGGAATTGCCCCTAGAAATGATAATAAGTTTCAAAAAATTCAGGAAACCGATTGCGGAACGCATGGCGTTTGTCGGTCGACTCTCGATCAACCGAGGGGACAATGCTTCTGTCAAAAGGGATATTTTGGAAAGACTTGTGATAAAGGTAAAGTAGAAGTGCGGATTTGTGAGCAGTTTTTTTTAGTACCACTTAGCGAGTTAATGTTTATTGTACTCAAACCAAAAAGAAATACCAGTTCAACAATTGTCAATAATGTCTTTAGTGTACTTTATAATCTCCCCTGGTCTTTAGTGCACTTTATGATGTTTTCCCCTTTCCAGTTTCCCGTGGTCCAAACAATCCAAACGACTTTGACCCAACATTATACAATTTGCGACAAGCCGACGACAACAAGATCTACTGGAGAATTTTGGAGGTTTCAAAGTTTCAAAAGTTTCACTAAAGAAGGGAAATGTTATGCAAAAGCTGGATTATATATATGTTGTGTCCGATTTAGATTTCCGTCCGATTTAGATTCAATCTAAATCTTATATAGATTGAACAATAATTAAGAACATATATTAAGCACGTTTATTATTGTTCGACCTGTATCGGACGTCCGATATAGACTGTAATCAATAAAAGACCTTTGAAAAATGCAGAAAACTACAGAAAACGCTTAAGAACATATATTAAGCATGTTTATATTATTGTTCAATCTATATAAGATTTAGATTGAATCTAAATCGGACACAACATATATATGCTTTATTCAGGGGCGAATAGAAGCGAATCAACTAATCATAACCGCATATAACATATTGCTACAGTACTTTCACGAAAAAGAAAGTGCAGGAAGACTAAAAATAGTACAGTGAGACTACAGTTAGGAAACACAGGTACAAAAAGATTAAATATAGGGCAGATTTGACATGGCAATAAGTCTCTCAGCTCTAATTCGTTTACAGGTATCATAACCGAGTCCCACTAAAATTAACATCAAATTCATCATCCTGCTCAAACCATTATGTTACTAAAAAGCAGTGCTACTTCTCTTTTTTGTTCTCTTTTCTCTCACAATTAGAAAAGAAATAGAGAATCGGTTATTTAATTTCACTTCTTCCCGGGTATCTTCTAACTTTCAACACCAAATTAACCAAATTTTCAGGACGAGATCGAGTTCGTCTTGAAATTCCCCGGGAAATCGTGGGCGGGAATCGGCTGGAAACCCCAGGATTTCGTCTGTCCAACCATAATTCCACAACCGCCATTGCATCAACAGAAAGAGGTAAGCAAATCAGGGATTTTTCGAAATTTCGAAAATCTCACAAGCTTTCGCTAAAAGGTGGTTTCAAATTTTATGGAGTGATGTTTGAAAATCCGTCTCCAATCATTGAACAGCTCCAATCGCCGCCAATCATCTCAATAAATTCCATATCCAAAAACAGCACCATACTAAATATTGTAGTCAAATGTTTTAGCCAAATAATATCCAAATTTAAAGCTACAATTCGATATTTGGGACTAGCAAATGTTGAACTTTTAAGATTAACTTTTAAGATTAACTTTTAAGACAAAATTCTAGGTCACCTACCCGCAAAAGTCGGCCATCGAGAAGGAAACGATTCTCAAAAAAGTCGACTCTGCCCCCAATGCAAAGGTTAGTTTCAAAATTATCCTATATAGTTGAATTTTTTTTCATTTTAATAAATGTCACTTGGAATTAATGAAATTAACCAGTCGGATTTCAAATTGAAAAATTCAAAACTCAAAAACCACGCTTAAACTTTAAATTTTCAGCTCCCCACCGCCGAGAACGCTGACTCGAAAGGTTTGCCCGAAATTCAAATTTTATACAAAATTTCTGTAAGCACTTGCATGTGAATTGGTCACTTTATGCAAATTCGGCAAAAAAACAGACTTTTCCGAATTGAAAAGTGATTTTTCGGTCAAAAAACAAAGCCAGCTCAAAGTCAAAAGCATCGGGTTGCAAAATTTGCTCATCAAAATCGTTCAATTGCGCACTTCAATCTCCAACTCACCAATGAAGAGTGGTTGTCTAGAAACAAAAAAAAAGCAAATAGCAACATGTTACATGTTATTTTGGTTTTTTGAGGACTTTTTAATCCATAAAGAATCTCGTTTCTAGTTCTAATTAAAATCCTGAAAGTGGTATTCCTTTGAACAGCTCTATGGCATGATCTTCCTTTAGAAATATTCTCTTAGTATTAGGCTCTTGATTTAAAAAAATCAAGTTTCAAAATAAATTGAATAAAGTTTCGAATGAGCTATGCAATTATTATGAATTAGAAAATTTTTTAAATTTAGTTTAGGCAGTTTTTTTCTAATCCTTTGAGCCACAGTACCTTTGTAGCTTTGTAGGCATTTTAGAATAAGTAAAGTAGCTTTATTAAAGTATACTGCGCTAAAAACATTCAGCCAACTCACAATGAATATTCAAATTCTTAAATCAAGACAAGAGACAGTCAAGTGAATATACTTTCAGAGTCCTGTAATTAGTTACATGGCTGTACAGTAGTATTGTAGGCATACTGTAGACTATAAACGGTAGTCATGGATTACGTCTAGGATTACGATATAGAAGAGCAACTTTTAAAATCACAAAATCACCGTTTGCATGACGAATGTTTCGTTTAGCATCACATCGTCCCCTGCCAGCCTCAGTCACTTTCGTCCAAAAAGCACCAAAGAGTGAAAAAGTCACAGAAGACGATGAAGAAGACAAAAGTGACGATTTTTCCGTGGACGCTGAGAGTACGGAATACGGTGGAGAGGAAACAGAATTGCCGTTTAAAGTGACGCCCGATATGATGTCCGCCGAACATTCTACAGTACCCACCACCGTAGCCAAGACTACGGTAGCCACAAAGGCTACCGCGGTCACTATAGCTCAGGAGGAGGAAAGTGAAGAAGCTGAAGTGGTGGAGGACACGAAAAAACCGAAATCGGATTTGGAAACGACGACAGCGACAAAAGCAACAACAAAAGCGAAACTTCAAGTCGAAATCGGCGTCAGCGATCCGGATTTGGCAGAAGAGGATGAGAAAAGTGGTGAGAGAATTTCTGTTTCAACGATTTCAGCTTTTAAAACTCGCATTTAGTAAGCAATTTCTGTTCCGTGATTACACATTTATTTGAGTGATGCACTTGTCTCTAAATGATTCTAAAACTAAATTAATTGAGTTGTCAAATATGAGGCGCGGTTGTTAAAACCACGGAAATCATGGAAAGATTGAATTTAGAAAGCATGCCGCACTCTGTATTTCATTCAAAAACTTTCATTTTTCACTTCAGACTCTCATATTTGAAAACTCAAATTAACACAAATTTAGCATTAAAAGGGCACTTTCAAAATCCCAATTCCAGGAAACACATGTGGTGAAAATGAGGAATTCAACAAATGCCCCGAAATGTCGCGCGAGTGTGAGGCGAGTTGCGATTGGACACGGTGAGCTGATTGGAAAATAACCAAAGCAACTTTAAAATTTTAATTTCCCAACAAATTAGGAACTTATTAGTAAAAGAAACGCAACTTTTACCCAAGCAGTACCCCAATCGGCGAAGCCATCACACTGAATATAATAAACAAACCACGGTCAAAAAGCCAATTTTTTCTCAGCCAAACAAATCAGGACCAGCTTCAAAAAGGCTTAAAACCAAAACCTTCCAGTTTATATTATGTACCTTTTAATCCAAAAACTATGTTCAAAACCTCAAATTTCCTTTAAAATTTATCACTTTATTCACAGTATTATCATCAACACAAACAAAACAAAATGCATACAAATGAAATGTGCAAAAGCGAGATGACGTACACACACGAGGAGGGGACTTTCTCTAAAACGAAATTTTTCGACGCAAGTTTTACACAAAGAATTCGATTACACTAAACAAAAAGAGTTGAACACCCAAAAGATAAGCGGAAAAGGGAAAAAACGGAAAAGATAAACGTTTCAATGTTTTGCCGGGTGGGTGGCTGAAATTTACATCATTCGCTTCAGGGATGATTGGCGTAGAATTGGTGGCTTGGTCCATCGCTGCTTTTGGCGGGTGATAAAGAATCTAAATTTAGAATTTACGTCCGAATTGCATAAACATTTGCAAAGCTCCATATTTTGAATAATAACTGTTAGAACATGACTGATTTCCTAAATTTAAAACTGAAAACTCAAAAACACTACATAAACCTATAAAAGGTATTGATGTCTAGACTTAAAACCTCCGGGCCCGTGCCCAGAAACTATAAAAACTTTGATTTAGCCTAGCGTAAAACTCATGAAATAGATGTACAAATCTATCCTAGATAATTTTAAAGCCAAAATGTTTACTTTTGAAAACAAAAACCGCTCACCATTGCGCTTCAAAATTTGCCCATGAGACACCCGTGGTGATTGGCTCGCTTCTCGCATCCTAAAAATAATCATTTTCAATCGATTCACTTACATATTTTAAACTTTGGAATTCAACTTTAAAAAGTATTTTTGCATGGTCTAATTTTATTAAAACAAATTAAAACCCTCCGCACTTCTCAACAATCAGCGACGGTCGACTCTCGACACTTCGCGGTGTTCGTCCATTGTTGTCATTGAAGTACGGTTGCTGATGTTGCTGCTGCGGTGGGGTTTGCTGTTGTTGCGTGAATGCGCTCGGCGCTGTCGTGAGGAGACCAGCATTTGCCTAAATGAGGAAAAATACAAAAACATATACACATTTTTTCTACACAAATAATATTTCTAGGCAAGTCTAATAGATATTCTCTATAACTAAAGCTTTGCGCAACAAAACATCCAAACCTCTACTCGTCGACTCCTTCCGGGTATCGAAACATCATCCTCAAATTGACTCGGGAGTTGAAGGGGCTGATTTGGAGCCTAAAATAGATACTTAATTCCTTAAAAACATGAAATTTTACTCTTAGACATAGCTTATGCTCTAAGATAGCTGTTAGTCCTTTAATTTCCTGGAATTTCCCCCAAAAACTCACCGAACTTGCCGTCGGCGATCTGTCAAGAACTTTGTTCGTCCAAAACGGAGCCTCACCGGCGTAGATGTTTTCGCTATCTGAACAAGAAATATTTAAAGATGGATCCAACACAGAGCTACAAGAACATTAGCAACCTTGCACTACACTCTAACACTAATCTAGAACATCTAGTACTCTAGAATACCGGCTCAAATTACGAACCTTCAGTTTTTCTCATAGTTTCAATCGAGCTCGTCTCATCATCATTCTTCTCAAAAGTCGGCTTTTGAGTGGCAACCTTTTGTGGAGTCCAAGTGGGCGTTGTTGTTGATCTTGCAGAAGTCCACGTCGCAGACGATGCAGCCGAGGAACTTGTCGTGTCCGATGACGCGGTTCTGCGATGAAATGGCAGTCGACTTGCATTGGACGTTGACGCACTGAATTCCTAAAAAAAGCATCAAATGGTCCAGAATTTGTTAATGTTTTAAAAATCCATTCAACTCCAATCGTCTACTAAATTCGCATTTGATAAAACATTCTCCAAAAGCTTTTACCTCGTCTGAAGTACTCGCTGGGCTATACTTCTCGGGATCTCTCTTGTTCAAGTGGCTCTTCGTCGGTTTTCTTGCCGGTGTTGGTGTTGCCGTAGCTGAAGCAGTCGGTGATGTGGCCGGAGTGAGGTAATCTGTGTAGGAAGATGTCTAAAAAATACAAATGTTTTCTAATAAAGCTAATCTTGCTCTAGTACATAAAATCGCAAGCTAAACTCACCCAATCGCGTGAACCCGAAGACGACTCGAAGACGCGTGAACCATAGCGAGGCTTTGGCGCATATTCTTCTCTGCCTTGTGTGTCGTTCGAAGTGAGCTAAAAAGAAAAATATAGACTTAGCTAGGGATAGCCATTTAAGCATATTCAATACTAAAATAATCGTACCTCTCCAAGCACTGACCGATTCGGATTCGGTGAGTTGCTTCGCGTTCGATTTCTCGTCGTTGAGCGAATCCGTTGGTACTTTGGCGTCAGCGAGCGGCTTCTTGTCGAGATGGACTTTCGCAAATTGATTGGCGCCGGCGAGCGGGCTGGGATCTAAACTTTAGGAAATAGTACATGCATTGTAATTATTGATCCAGAACCTAACAACATAAGTATCAAACAGCAAACACTACCTTTTCTTCTCGCCCGATCTCGCACGCAGATGGATTGGGTGATTGAATAGCCATGACTGCAGCCTGTGGTGCGTTCTTCGCCAAGCAATGTGAAGCCGCAGCGATGAACAGGGGTTCGACTTGAAATTCCTAAGCAAATGACATGTAGTCGCATCAATTAACCATTAACTTTACCATACAGCACTTAATTTACATCAATCTATCAATACTGTGCTACGGGTCAAATAATATGCGTATCACAAAGCTTGTACCACTTCTTTCTCCTCGTTTTGTACATTAGTGAGTAGAGTTGTCATCATTTTCGTCTGTTGCCGCTGTGTTTTCCTTGGAGCGGTCGCTGATGGATCATTCTCTTCAAAGAGTGTCTAAATTTTATCACTTACTAAATGATGAACTTAAAGTTCTTACCGCCGCATCAGCACTGGCTTGGTCTTGTTGCTGTTGTTTCTTCCGCGCCTCAGGCAGCATCTAAAAACAGATATTAGTATGATTGAGTTTAAAGTCTGACCCTTACAAACTCATAACGGCGTCAGTATCGTTAGCCAAGTCTAGTTTCGATGCTTTTGGATACAACAAGCTTACCGTTATATTTGTTTTTCGCTCGTTGACTTTCCGCTGAACTTCTTCCTCTTCTTTGAATTTCGCGTGAATCGCCTCGGCTTGTTTGTTGTAGCGTCGCTTGTAGAACTAAATTTAAAAAGGATTACAAAATATTTCACAAAAAGATGCTAGGCTTAAGTTGGAGTGTGTTCTACGTGATTGTCAAAAGCTTTCAAGAGTCAAAGTTAACGTATTCGCCTCGAATTTGGCTCATTTATAAGTTTTTAGTGTTAAGTGAAAGGCAATTGGTCAATTTTGTGGTGAAACACGGATAATATTATTGCGCAGAACTTATTAACAACTTTTAACGTTTGTTACAAAGTTATCGCAACTCTTTAACATACATAAATTTCCGCTTACCTCCCACAATCCCCACGTGAACAAGCAGCAAAAGGCGCACACTAAGAAGAAGATCGCAAAAATGACGATTGTTATCCACATCACTTCCCAAGTGGGCACATAGGAGCCTGTAAAAAAACGATAGACTTGTTTCTAGTGCCAGCTTTTCCTTGAAATCACTAAACTGATCAACCTATTTGACGAATTAGCCGTTAAATAACGCCATTTTTGATATTTTAATGAATTTGATCTACAAAATCTGACCAATCAGTCTCATTTGCGAGATTAGATGAATGCCATAATGTTAAAGCGCAAGTTTAATACGTTTTACTGTCAAATCTATGCCAAAAAGTGTCTAAATCAGCAAGCATTAGTTTTTCCGCTTTGAACATGAAATTTAACATCTAAAACGCTTCTAAGTTAGCCAAATCGTCTAATCAGTCGAATCAAAACGCGTTAAACTTGCGTTCAGCATTAAAATCATGCAACTGATTACGTGAATAACACGAATTAGCCAGATTTCATCGCTCAAGTCAGTTAAAACGCTAAAAACCCACCATAGTTGAAGAACATGAGCTTCCCGGATGGCGTTGGCCCATCTTTCAGCTCTTCCATTTGCACCATTTGGCCCTGGAACGTTAAAAATATCAATACTTTGTTGCAAAAGAAAAAAAAATGAAAATTTTACAAAGAGCACACAAAAACACTAACCTTACAATAGGAAAACGCGAAAATGATTTAGATTTCCAAAAAGTGCCCCAAAAATTGTTAAATACAAATTTTGACTGGATGTCCGAAAGTTAAAATGAAAATTGGTCGTTTCCCCTTTTCAACGCTAAAAATTTTACATTTACATTTTTACAGTACCTTTAACCCATAATACCCATTAGAAATAAACGCTACAAACTACAAGGTCAAACTATAAACCCTTGTAGAAACACGTAGAATCGACTACAAGGGTTTCTAGTCTAACCTTGTAGTTCGTAGGGCCCATGTCTAAGACCCATTGGTTAAAACAAAATTAGTACACTGATAAGCTAAAAATCGTATTTAAATCCAATTTATAGCTTTCCCGAAACGATCCCGAATTGCCCGCGGCAATGCGGCGAGGCTCGTTGCGTGTGCAAGGCTGGCTTCGTCCGACAATCGAACGATGAGAACAAATGCGTGCCGTTCGACTTTTGCTCGGCCGAGGTGAGGAATAGATTTGATGTACTTTGTGCCCACAAATCTCGTAAACATCCCTTTCTGGCGCACTCAATTCCCCATTTTCCTCTCATAGCAACGATTTGGTGTCACGAGGCGAAATAGAAGAATTCAGTGAGCCAGAAAGGGCGTGTTTAAGTTATTTGTGGGCACAAAATACATAATTCAACTTTTTAACGACTCACAGACTGCAAAACATTATTGATAACCAATCTTTCACTGAATAGTCAAAAACAGAAACATAAACTTTCATTTTCCAGGAGTAAATTTCAAAAAGCTTCAGGTATTAAGGCTAGATAACGTAGATAAAAGTTTTTAAAATATTTCGCATATAAAATTTCCGGATTTTCAGGAAGAACCCCAATGCTCGGCGAACGCCACCTATGCGAAATGTGGAACTGCTTGTGAGCCGAGTTGCGAAAACATGTACGACACGTCACCTTGTCCGGCTTCTTGTGAGGTAAAAATAGGAAATTTTGAAAGCTTAAGCCAATAAATTACTAGTCTAAACTTTAGGCAACTTTTTACACAGCTTTTCCTGCTTTAGTCAAGCGTTTGCTTTAAAGAAACGAAGAAATCTTAGTCTCTTGTCTCACTACAGTACCCTGGGATAATAAGTATTCAAACGACAAGACTGAATATCTTTAAAAGTGAAAGCTTTTTATCTAAAGACATTCAGCCTTGTCAGCTGAGACTTTTTCTTGGATAATGTAGTGGGAAAAGAGATTGATATCCGATAAAATCTTTGCAAGCTATTGCTTGATTAAAAATCCAGGTTTCAAAGTAAACTTGCTTAGCAGAGTCAAACTTTATTCACTTTTTCAGTGATTGTAGAACAAAACTTCTTTGCCAATTATAATAAAAACTTTATTGCCTCAGAAAATCAAAAATTTAGACCCCAGCCTGCACTTGTTCGGACAACTACGTGCGCTACAAGGGTGGCTGCATCTATTGGGGCGATTGTCCAAGTGGGTTAACAGCTCTGATAATTGGGTAATCGAACCGATTACTAAATTGTGTCCTGTCGGCTGGATACTTTTATTCTAGAGTACTGTATTGAAAAAAGTCAAAAAAGGCGAATTAGCACTTGAAGTCCAGCACTTGAAGCACCAAAGTTGACATTTTCATTTCCATAGAGACAAAATGATCACCTTTCTCTTCTTTATACACTACTCTACAATAAAAATTTCCAGCAGAAAATATGTATTTTAATTACGGAATACTGTAGCTAGAAAAAAAGACCGGGACTTTAAAGTTTTATTTTGAAAAAGTACTAAGTATTAGCAATCGGTTTCCTCTTTTTGAGACGTTAAAGTTGAAACTTGTCTTTTAAAAACTCTTGCTTCAAACTCATCTTCAAATTGGGCAAAATGATGATTTTTCTCATACAAAAATATTCCAATTTTCAAACTTTTCAGATCTCGAGGACCATCTCGCTTTCGATGAAGCCCAACCGACCGCCAAATCCGAAGCCGCTTCAGCTGCTGTGACTCTGAAAACGACGACCACAGAGGCCCCAAAAGCGGAAAGCTTTGGAAAAACAACACCAGTAAGGAGATACAATTACCTTGAAGAAATCTGATTTTACTCTTCTGAATTTAAAATCAAATCTTTGCAGCTCTTGAAACCAGCACAAACGGTGTGTCCAGTCAACGAGACGATGACTGAATGCGGACAAGTTTGCGAGGCGAATTGTGTCACCATTTTCACTCGGTAAAGAGTAAAATTAAGTTAAAAGCCAAAAATTTATGCAATCCATGTAAACATTTGTCTTTCCACATCACTATAGAAGTGATTACTAGCTCGGAACGCGTTTTAAGCTGAACATGTGCCATTTTTATTACCGGTCCATGGACGAGCTTCAACCGGATTATTTTGAAAATTCAATATTTTTATTTTTTCCTTGAACTATTTGGTTGTATAATTTGATTTGAATTACTTACAACAATAATTCTAGAACGGCTTGCGACAAGTGCGGTGACCCGGAGTGTGCCTGCATTCAGGGATATGCCCGCTCCAACGGTGTTTGCGTTTACTGGGGAGATTGCCCAAGGCAGACACAGAGTGAGTTTCGAGAATCCGTTTTCTAAATCATGCCCCTTTTCTACCGTAATCTTGTCTCTATTGTTTATCCAACCTGGATAAAATAGAGACAACATTACGGTAGAAAAGGGAAAAATTTAGGAAAGAGATTAAGGAAGAGGAAGAATACCAGCAACTTGACGCCTTTCGGCGAACAACTTGACACTCAATATTTTGAAACTCAAAGATTCCCCACCAATCAAAGATTTTTTAGAATCGACGCCCCGATTCCCCAAGACTACCACGATAATCCCAGCTAAACAAGCGGAGCAAAAGGAGCCAAAGAAGTTTGTCAGCGACGACTTGTCAACTGATAATGAGAAATGTTATGGAGATTGGAGATACCCAGATGGATGCAAGGATTGCGATTACAAGGTTTGCAAGTCATCTTTAAATTGAGCTTGCCAACCAAATTTCTCAAGATCAATTTTGAAATTCAAACATTGAATTTACCTTTGACAATAGACGTAAGATCATTTATTTCCAGAACAATTCAATAAATAGCTCCACTCTTAGAGTCCCGAATATTGAAACTTACATTTTCACCGGAATAATTAAAAAGATTCAATTCGAAATCTTTCAGCTTTCCTGGAACTATGTTGATGAATCGGATGAAATCGAATTTTCGTTGGAAACAAAGGCTCCGCAAAACTGGTGGACTGGAGTTGGCTTCAGTCCGCAAGGAAGCATGGTGAGGACTCGAAATTGAAAGTTTCAAAGAAATTTATCCATTTGATTGAATTAAAAGAATTAATACTTTGATTAGTGTATGGATTTCAAAGATTTCCTGAACTATAATAGTAAACCAAACTTTAAAGGTTTCAAAATTGAGTGGATTAAAGTGAAGGCGGTTGTGTTAGCGCCGTTTCTTCACAAGCTTAAAATTTACCATCATCAGACTGAAAACTTATTAATTGTGCGAACTTATTAATTGTGCTCTACAGATTCAAGATATAGCTCTAGAAGAATCATAGCTCTAGAAGAATTTTAAAACAAAGTTCAAAATCATCTTCTAGTTTAAATTTTCCAGGCCGACGCCGACATGATCATCATCAAATCGTTCAACGGGAAACTCTCACTTTTGGACATGTACTCAGCTTCGTACTCCGTGCCAACCCTCGACGCTTCACAGGTTTCAAAATTTTATGAGCAAAATGATTGAGTTATACTAGTGAAGCTAGTCAAGCTCTTGTTTCAAAAAGCTAGTTTCAAAATAGAGGTTCTTCGGGGAGAAACTACTGAGTCAATTATTTATACTTCCAAAAACATTTCGTGTATAAGTTTTTTAAAAACTTTTGGTATATAACGGTGGTTATAGATTCAATCGATATTCCTTAATCAATGATAACTTTAAAGACTATCTTACGGGAAACAATAAAGCTATAAATATTATAAATTTGGAAATTAAACTGATCAATCTGATTTAAAGTCTGATCTGGTCTCATTTCAAGCTGATCTGGTCTTAATTGTCAAGAAAGTACATGGAAAATCAAAACAAAAGTGCTCAATAAAGATTCACATCTAGAATTGTCCTAGAATTGGTGTAAATGAACCCAATTAAATGTAAATGAAGGTCAAATCACCTCTTTAAGCTCGTTAAATCTGAAATAAAACTTTTTCAGAAGCTTTGACCTTTTTCTTTTTTTCGGTAAAGCTAAAAAGAGACTTTGGAATAAATTTTAAATCAACATTCAATCGACTATTGAGCTTCTAAGAGTCTAATAGACTCTTAGAAGCTCAATAGTCGATTGAATGTCGAACCCAGAAAACTTCTTTTTGGAATGATAGATTTGAAACAAGAATTTTTGGGTAAATCTCTTCGTCTTTCCAGGACGCTTACTCTGAAACGGTGATCGGCACACATGCAAACGGTGTGCTGCGTGCGCAATTCACCCGCAAGCGCAACACCGGCGACACAAAAGGCGATCACATCTTCTCCGACACTCAATGCCATAACTTTTTGTTCCCAGTGGAAGGCGGGAAATTGGATGAGGTGAGACTACTGTAGCTAAGTTTTTTTATTGAAACATTTATTGAATTTTGACGTTCACTTAAATAATTTAGTTAAATTCCATTTAAACTTTAAAATTCATTCATTAAAAATCAAAAAAAAAATCCAATTTTGACTAAAGAAACATAATTTCGTCTTGAGTTGAATTTGTTGACCTTTTTCAATCGCCCAAATGCTTTTCTCTTAATTTATTTTTCAAAATTCATTTCTAGAACGGAAACATCACCATTCACACGGCCACTCCGTTCGTTTCGGGCGACAAGATCTGTGTGAGCAGTTGCATCAGTGAAGAGGAAGAGAAACCGGCTAAAGGTTTGCCTGGCAAATACAGTAAAAGAACAGTGTTCTGGGATCGATTTTTGCCTTAATTTCGGCTCTTTCTTTTTGCTACAAATTCCTCATGTTTAGTTTCAATTTTAACGACATCAATGCACCAAATTTCTAGTCAACTTTGTCAAGTAATTACTCAACCAGTAAAGATTTGTTTACCGATCAAATACAACAGGACACCGTTTAGAAAACAGGGTTTTAGAGAAGCTTACTTATAGTTATGACAGTTTTCAAATCAAACTCTTCATTTAGTCACGGACACCTGCGAGACCGAGTACCGTTACCCGCCATCATGCGTCGAATCGGCGTGCGACTACATTGCCCGCTGGAATTACGATGCTCAGAGACAAGATGTGAAATTTGAGGTTTGTGAACATGTGGCACAATAATAAATCTAAATAAAGCTTAGAATTTCAAACTAGGAGCTCATTGTAGCTTCGGTGAACCCTTTGGAAACGATTGCAAATGAACTATTTCTTTGAGGCTTGAAACAAAGCTTTCAGTTTTGTTGAAAGCTGAAACTTCTACTTATACGGCAATCAAACGAAATTTTTTAGCAAAACTCTTCTTACAAGTTTTTCCCAACCAGATTTTCGAAACAAAACCACTTTCAGATCTCCTCAAAGGATTTGGGTCGCTGGACAGGCATCGGCTTCTCACGGGACGGGAAAATGGCCAACGCCGACATTTACACGGGATGGGTGAGCTATACTTATTCTATTACAAGAAAACAAGTGCAGGTTTTTAAATGCTAACTATCATTGCAGGTTTACGAGGGAAAAGCCTATGTGACGGACCGGTACGCCTACGGGAGACAACTCCCAGCAATCGACCCGGCTGATCGAAGTGATATCTATGAGGTGAGTAGGGACAGATTATTGGGGACCTATTGTTTACGATTTTTGCGAGCCCAAATCTAGGGTGAACCGGGAAAGAGAAACGTTTAGCGAACGGCTTTATTAGCATTCGACTTTTCAATTTAATCAAATCAACTTTGAAACATTTACTTTCAAGTAAGAAGTTCTAACAGTTTTCCCGGACAAATTTGGTGCTTCTTTGAAAATAATAAATAATAAAAGGGTTTAGTCGAGTTTTTAAACAAAATTTTGAGGCTTTTTTAAAACTATTGACTTCAGTTATCACCTTAATTGTTTGCTTGCCGCGTCGGTTTACCTTAAAAATTTTGAAACCAAAAGCTTTCTTGAGTCAAAGAAAAGAAAAGAAATTTGACTTTTCACTATTTTATTTCCATTTTAATATCCCAAAAAACAATTTCCAGGTCGAGGGAAAACTCTTCGAAGAGATGCAAACGATCTCCTTCCGGCGGAAAGTCGTTCCAAAAGATACGATCACCGATTTGCCACTCGATCAGTGCTACTACTTCTTGTTCCCCGTTGGAGGAGGTAAAGACTTTTTTAAATTTTTTAAGAATCTAAGTAAGCATCGTAGATCTGTTATTGAAAATGCCATCTTTCAGGACGAGTACTTGCCCGAAAATCCCAGGACTTCTCCAATCCCCGAACCCCGATCGGTTTCCACGATCAAGAGACGCCAAAGGTGAGAATTGTCTTGTTTCAAATTGTTTCACTTCAAATGAAAGTATTGATCTACAATTGAATGAAGAAAACTATAATTTAGTGCAGTTAGTGCACCCTTCAATCATCCAAGATCAAAAAGCTGTTTGAAAAAGAGATTTTCTTTGTTTCAAAGTATCACTTTCTGAAAGTATCAACTCAATCCAATCAACACTAATGAACAATGAGGTTCTGGATTTAAAATACTTTATGCTTACGCTAGAGCATAACGCTAGAGTATAACGCTAGAGCATTTGTCAGCATAACAACAGACAGTACCCGGGATCGGCATCGGGTACAATAATACCCAATTCAGGTCACTTAGATCTTTATTCTTTCAAAGTATTCGTTCTCTAAAGATACTTGTGGGAATTTAATCGAGACCAATAGTGATTAGTTGAAAAGCTTAACTGAATTGATGCAATTAGTGATCATTAGGCAATCATCTAAGGCTTTGAAAAGTATCAAATCAAATTAATCAATTTAATCAACTCTACATGAAAAGATTGAATCACTATTGGAACAGTTGAATGCAACATTTGCTATTTCAAAATTTCAGGTTTCAAAGACGAAAATCTGTCTATGCCGAGACGGGAAACCGCTGAAATCGAGTGAACCGCATCAAGTGAGAGTGAGAAGACAAGCACTGCAACAACAACAGCAACAGCAACAGCAAAGCACTGGTTTGTGGAATAAAATGAAATATAGAAATGGATAACAATTTCTCCGTAACAAATAAGGGATTGAGAAATCCTTTTTCAACAAACTACCTGAAAATTGAAACTCTTTGACTGGTCAAAATTCGAAACAAGCTTTTCTTCATAAGGCGCAAAGTTATTTAAACTTCGAAGTTTCATAACATGTATTTTATCTTATTATTGTATTCTTAACTTCAACAACTTTGCAGTAAGCGCAATGGCGTGCACGGACATGGTCGTTGGATCTGTGTTCGATGGACGGGGAAGAGTCAGGGATATGTACTCGCCGAGCAAGGTATGGAAAACAAGAACTTTAAGAACTTAAAAATAAACCAGTAAGATTGCAATAGTTTGGCATTATCTAAATAGAGTAAAAACAAGAGAAATCTTGGATTAAAAATTGAACCTTTCAGGCGTCTCCTCGAATGGATTCTTTCTTCGCTGGAGAGGATGATTTGAGTGGAGCTGCTGCTTATAGTGAGGACGGAGTGACAACGATTGTTTTCAGGAAAAAGCTCAACTGTAAGTGTACAGAGTTTTTGTGTACATTGTGCTCTCTCAAATCAAATGTTTACGGGATTTGAAAGCACAAAGTGCAATCACACACACTATAAAGAAAGAGCTCACTTTGTTGTCGTTTAGCTTAAAACAGTCATTTTTTTAGATAAATTGTACAAAGAACTGTGATTTTTTATTATTATTTTTTCAGCCAACGATCCAGCCGATCACCCAATTTTGCCCGGCCCAATGACCGTCATCTGGGCGAAAGGAGCCGACTCAGAGAGGTATGCTTTAAAGATTCCTGCGAGTTAAAAAGCGATCGTAACCCTATAAATAGCAAACCTCTAAATACCAAGTCACAAGTCACCCCAAAACTAGCTCGTTTCTTGTCCAAATACATCGATTAAAATGCTTTACTTTCTCCATTATGTGCCAAAGTTGAAACGAATACTTTTCTTGGAGCTTTTTTTTGTAAACTTGTGAAAATCATAACCTCGACCAGGCATTGACCCGCAAGGACTTCGACAAAAAGCCAAAATTTTGAAACATTTAATTTTTGAACCCCCAAATTTTCAGATACCAGCACACCACCGGCGGAGAGCCGATCAAGGCCGATCCAGCCTTCTTCGGCACGGATCTTTTCAAGTATCACGGGAAGAATCGACGAGGAGTGTTGACCATCGATTTCTTTGAGGACTCAAAGGTTTGGAAAAGATCAGAAAATTTAGATGAGCAATTTGGAAACTAGATGCTTGACCTTATAAATTATGGCTAAAACTTAGCACTTTAAAAACATGTTTCCTATTTAGAGCTCTGTGTCGAAAACCACAGTAACCCAAGCAGAAACCAGCACCTCCATACGCCCACTTCCCAACATTCCGGATGCTCCGACGAATGAGGTAAGCTTACATTTCATTTAAATGCTTTTTGCATTGATTAAATGAATGTTTCAAGTTTTTAGTAGGTAAAGCGGTTTAAGGATCATTACTATATGCTCATTTAGTAAATAAACTGCTCTGTTTTAGTAGTGCTAAGCAAGGAAACTATCGTGCGTACTTTGTACTCCCTCAAATCCCGTAAACACCCCCTTTCTGGCGCACTCAACTCTTCTATTTTCCCTCGTGACACCAAATCGTTGTTGTAGGGGGAAAATGGAAGAACTCAGTGCACCAGAAAGGGTGTTTGATAGAACACAAAGTACAAGCCTTTTAGGGATACTAAACGGTAAAAACTATAGACCGAAACTGTGTTAAACCACTTCATACTCTAATTTGAAACATCTATATTTGAGTCCAGTTTATGAAGAGCATTGCATGTTTCAAAATCTCACCAAAATGGGTTCCGCTTTCTTAATGGTGTCGCAATGAGTACAGTGCAAAGATTTAAACAAACACAAGTTTCAAGTTAACTCTCTTTTTGACTACAGGAATGAGTTTAATGGCATAGCACTAAAACCGAAAACCTTTCAGCCAGACGGTTTCCCCTCGTGTTCCGGGCGCTTCTCTTACCCACGTGGATGTGAAAAATTGGATTGTCCATACGTTGTTGAATGGAGTTCCGATGGAGTTGAGATCACTTTCCATTTGGAGGCAAAAGTGGAGGACAGAAAGTGGACGGCTGTCGGTTTCTCGAGGGATGGTGGAATGGTTGGTTTTGAGTTTCAGAAGATTATTAGGTTGTCAATGAATCTGGTCACTGTGCCGGTATTTAAACCGTACCAAGTTTGGTGAGCAGGTTACGGTCACTAGGCCGATTTACGGTAAGTGAAACGGAGTTTTGGTAGAAAAATCGGGTTATGGTAGCTAACAACGAGTACGGTAGCTATAGCAAGAATACAATGAGCAACCAAGAATGGCACCAGGTAAATGTTTCAAGTTTCAAAATACCTAAGTAGATTGGAAAATGTGGATATGTAGTGCGTAGGTAGTATTGTTTTGAAAGCTAATTGTAAAGGATACAGCTAAAATTCTCTCACTACAGTATCCCGGAATAAAAAGCATTCAACAAAGCCTTGTTACTGATTCATTCATCTCATTGGTTCCGTTAAACTTGCATTTTTAAATAGACTTTTAAATAGAGCTTAAAATGAAACATTTTCTCTCCAGGCCAACTCCGATGTGGTGGTCGTTTCGGTGGAAAGAGGCGAGATCTCCGTTGTCGATCAATTCATGCCCAACTACGGCCGACCGGCGATCGACGAGCAACAAGATGTTTATGATATTGGTGAGTCAATTTGATAGATAGGTTTGATAGATAGGTTTGATAAACAGGTTTGATAGATAAATTTGATAATTGTGCTAAATCATTTATTAAATAGCCTAGTATCAATTGATACTTGTTCAAGTTGAAACTGAGATCTAAAATCCTTCAAAAAAATTTGATTTTTCAAAGGGAATCCCATTTGAAAACCTTTAACGCTCTATGTTTTCTGTTCTATGCTGTTGTTCAAGCAAAAGTATTTGAAATTTACGTATTGTGTTCGATTATTAAGAAATCGGAGTGGCTTTGTTCCTGGTTAAATTTGAGACACCAGAATTTTTTCAAAACCAAGATTAAAGGCTTGTTAAGCTTTGGTTTTTAGCCGACTTTGAACAAGAAAAGTCAGATTTTTGATGAAGAAAAATCTTATTGCTTTATTTCAAAAGGATCACGATTAAAAGCAGTCGAAACCGGGTATTCCACCCGGTTTTGAAAACGTGAAACACGAAAATTTTCAAAGTTAATCAATTTTTTTCCAGAAACCGCCTACAAATCCGGCCGGGTCTCGGCGAATTTCAGCAGACGTTTGGCCACAAAGGATATGGTAATCGGAAACATATTTCAAAAAAAACATTTACCATTTCAGAACGATGTCTCCTTGGATGAATGTCAATTTTTCCTTTTCACGCCAACTGGCGGCGATTTGGACGGAAATGGAGAGATTTTGAAACACCAAGACACCCCGACGAGCAGCCAGACCAAGGTCAGAATTGCATTTAGTTGGAAATTTAAAATAAATCTGATTTAAAAATAAATCTGATTGTTAGATTGATCATTGAGCAAATTGAGAAATCAAGTTTTAAGTTTTGGATATTAAACTTAAAATATTAAACTTTTGGATATTAAACTGAATTCGATAAATTTTGAAACTTAACTTTTGAAGCTGGAGAGAACTTAGGGAAATAAGTCTTAATTGTAAGTGTTTTTGGGTAGTTTTTGACAGATAAAGGATCACTTTGTAACAATCATTAATATAATATAAAATAAAAAGAAATAAATCAAAATTTGGAGATCTGTCTCTCGATGTGCAATCGGCACACGACTTTGTCTACTTTGGCGGTGCCAGTCCAAACGAAACCCTCGCCAACAACGCAAAAGCCGAAAACGACCACGGAAAGCAATGGTAAAGCTGTTAAAAATCATTTAAATTAAAAATCAACAGTATTTTTAAAAGCTGAAAAGCTAAATGTATTTAAAATAATCAAATTTTGAGTTGTTAGATATGGTTGTGCTCGGCTCAAGTTCGAAGTTGAGATTTGAAAATTGATGTTTCAAAATTTAGACTTTATACAATTCTTTTAACTCGCTAGTGCTCGCTCCATACTTGTTTGCCCACATTGCCTCACATCTTGTAAACACTCCGTTTCTGGCGCCACAATACCTCCATTTTCTCCTAAGAGCAACGATTTAGTGTCACGAGGGGAAAATAGAATAATTAAAAAAGTGTCACGAGGGGAAAATGGAAGAATCGAGTGCCTTAGTCCCTAGATTTAAGAGCACAAAGAACATTGTATTTGAAATTTTTGTGTTTCAACCCTTCATTCAACACTCATCGCCAACTCTTTAGTTTTCTGAAACTCTCTTGATCAGTTTATTAAATATAACTCACTGGTTACAATCTAGCAACATTTATATTGTTGATACCCAGATTTAAACTCTTTTTGCTTTAAAGCTTTGAAATTTTTTAAACATAAAAAGAGAAATTTTGTGCAAATAGCATGCAAAATTAAACCGAATAGAGATAAGTGGTTGATTTCAAAGATCAAGCTTTACTTAGCGGCAATACTTAAGCTAGTTCCGTGAGTAGTAACAAAGCCAAGTTCCAATTTGAATAAGATGAGTGCCACTGTTTCGTATTTAAGCGGCATTTTTAACAAATGACAAACACCATGGATTATCATTTAATGCTCTAATCGATCCCAAACATTTAGACGAGTCTATGGAATACGAAGATGAAGACGAATCTGAAGAGAAAACGACACAGAGAACCACTCAAAAAGTCCCGTCAACGATTCCCGGAAAAAGACTCGAGGTTCGTTTGTAAATTGGAGGTTTTTGAAATACTCAAGTTTCAAGATTAACAACATACATGACAAGCAACTGTACTTAGTTGGTGGTTAAAAAGTAACAATGAGAATTTGAGTTTTCCTATTCAGACAACGAGAAAACCAGCCAAAACTCTCCCGCCAATTGTCACCCAAATGGAGGACGCGACGAAGCGATATTCGTTGCGTGTCCGAATTCTCAACAGGTGAGGAAATTGGAGAATTTCTGGGTACTGTAGGCTTATCAAGACTTGAAAAACTAATTCTTTCAGTCGGCTGTTCTAGTCTAGGTTCTGTTTGCAGGGTTGGACGTAAACTCAAAAGTCAAGGCTAGTGAAGCCAGGCCAAGATCGAGTCAAAGCCGAGCGGCTGACTGAGTTTGGCTTGGCCTAGAAAATCGGGTCTTGCTGTAAGCGCTGCCCTGGCTGTAAGTCAATTCAGAAGCCAGGTCCAGGCATGGTATCTTTTTGTGGGTCAGCCATAGAACACAGAACAATCGATCGTATAACGAATGATCCTAATTTCTGAGTTACTTTCAGAATGTGAATCGTCTGAAATGAACATATTTATGTTAGTTTGTTGAGTGTTTCTTTTGAATCTATCCATTCCGCAAACAAAAACGCCACTTTATTCAATTGCCTCCGAGAAATTTCTTCGTAATTTCCAGAGAATGGTCTCCCGCATTGGCCGATCCCCAATCCGAGCACTATCGCTCGTTCACCAAAGAGGTACAGCTTTTGTGCTTTGGTATTATTGGAAAATGAAAATGAATTTCAAGAGGGTGCTGAGTATTTTGAAATTCGTCTATATTATTTGAAATTCGCCTATATCAAAGCAAATTGCGGTGGTAAACTTTTTAGTTTCAAAATTTCCAAGAGTTGATCAATAATGAGTCCTAATTGTCAATAATGAGTCCTAAAAAACCGAGTTTCGACTATCAAAAAGATTAAAAAGGTCAAAAATCAAGTAGTCAAGTAGATCAAAAAGGTACATCAAAAATAACCAGCTTTAAATCTTTCTTTTTGAATGAGAGCTGCAAAAAAATCTCCTTAATTATTTAAAATGAAGATAATAGATCATTATCCAGTTTGCACTGTAAGATAGACATAGGAAAACTCCTCCGCAAACCCATTTCCACTTCTTGTGTGCTCAATTTCACCGTTTGTCTTGAAAAATCGCCAGATAAAAGCATCAATTTGTGAACGGATTTAAAAACAAACGGTCAAAAAAAGCCATTGTAAATCGATTTCAATTTCAAAAAGTGCTTTCAGGTCTCCGAAGCGATCAACAACTTGTTGGCGAAGAAATGGCAAGGAATGCGCGTCTCGAAGATCGTCGATTACACAAAAGGAAGTGTCATTGCTGAGTTTGAGGTGAGGAAAATTTAGAGAAGAATTCAAGGCTTTAATCGAGTTCCATTTGCTATTTTTGTTTTAACTTTAAAGAACTTGAAATCTGAATTTTCAGGTTGACTCAAATGGTTCACCGCCGCCAATGGTCCGCGAGCTGGCCATTTACTTGGAGGGAGCTGCGTTGCGGGGAGAAATCGAAGGATTTTCCGTTGAGCCGACAACGGTGAAAGTGAAGGAAATGAGTGAGTTTCAATGCTTTTATCAGTTGAAACTAATCCGTTTTCTAAAACGTGTTAGCTTTCCTCCTTCTACCGTAGTCTTGTCTCTATATTTTTCAATCTATCCACTTTTTGACTGATTCTGTGAGGGTTCACAAAGGAGATCGAAATAAAAAGAAGTGGATAGATTGGATAAAAATAGAGACAAAATGCATTTACTGAAATTCATTAAATGCAGTCTGTCAAATACTAAATGGCAAAATTTGAAACACGCAATTTTTTTCAATTTGCAGTTATCCCCGAGAAACCCAAAGAAGAGAAACCGATGAACGAGAGCATTGACAATTTGTTGCAAGGAATCAGGTTTGTAAAAATTGACATTTAAACCATTTAGTCTCAAGACTCATAAGGTTCGGATTCAAAATTTGAAATATAAAGTCGAGTTTCAACTGAATCAGCTCTAAATCATTCAACTAAAAGCTAATAAAATCGTTTCATTAAATTTAATATTGTAAAAGTTTTCAAAATTCTTTTTAACAATAATCAGATTCGTAAAAAGTACAGTTGGCTCACTTTTCAAACCATTATGGACTCGGTTTTGATATTTTCAAAAAGCAAGTTTCAAGTAACGCATGTATCAAGTAACAACGCAAACCTTAATAGACCATACACCGGTTGTTTAATACAGTCAAATGTTATTTGATCTGTCTAGGAAAATAAAATTTAAGACATTTTTCAACATTTGAATTTAAAAGCAAAAACGTTCTTTTTGTGTGATTTGACTTTGTGATTCAAGCGCTTTATATTCAAAGATGAAATTTAAAGTCAAGTTTCAACTTGATCATCTTTCAATCATTCGGCAAAAGGTCAATCAATCAAGTTTGAAAATTTCGCTAGAAATCCAAAATGCTTATCCAATTTCAATGCAAAACCCAGAATTTCCAGTGTCGATCCAGAGCTGTTGCGCAACGTGATCGTCATCTCGATCGCTGCTTTGGTTCTTCTTTTGGCGGTGATCTGTTGCTGTTGCATCATGTGCCGAATTCGGAAAACCCGCAACAATTTCGTGAGTTTCAAGTGCAACAAGCTTCTTAACCCACTTAATGAATTCGCTTTGGCTTTTGAAAGTTAAATTCAGCCCGACTAGTCAACCAATAAGTGTTGTGTTTCACTTCTTAAGTTGGACTGATCGAAGCAGACAAATTTTAGTTTAACCACAGGCTTCTCCGTCAAATTTCGGCTTCTTAAAAATCTAGTTTTACCCATCTTTTTTCCAGAGCCCAATGCGCTCATCCGATTCGATGGAGGCCAAATCCTACTCGGATATCCCATACAAAGCGGTGAGTTCAACAATGAGCAAAAAGTTTGAGAAAAAGTTGATTGAAATCTGAGTGAGATCAAATTAGCAGTAGTTTTTATCATTAGAATAATATTGTTATCGAATTCTATTCCAGGACTCCTACCCGCTGCCCTATCCCGCCTCGTATGGACCCTATGGAACACGTGAGTTTATTATTTCAAATTATTACACTTCAAAGCATTAAAGAACATAGTGATAATGCGTGGCTTGCAAGTAAATTCATAGCAAATAGCTTCGATGCTAGCGAATGATTCATTGCTAGCACAAATACTAGTTTTTGACCCATTTTTTTGATCAAGATACATGTAAAAATCAAGATTACAAATTTTCCAGTGCAACCGAAACACCCGAAATCACAAATGATGAACGGCTTCGAGAACAAGGCTTTCCAGGGACCGAATGGCACACATCAGAGGCATTTTAGTCAGGTACAAGACGGATATGATTGATATTTCTTGTTAATTCAAGTTTCAAGAGACAAAATGTTCATGAATAAAGTGAAAAAATGAATTTTTGGAACAGATTGTGTTGAAACAGATAGTTTTTAGGCAACAACCGCCTCGAACAAGGGCGAATCGTCATCGCCGGCTCCATCCGGAAACGGCCACGAGGGAATGCCCGATGGAATGGGTGAAACGACATATCACGAATGGTACAATAAGGTTTGTTCAGTGGAATTGAGAATGAGACATTTGATCAGTAAACAAATTTGCCGGTACTTGACTTAAAGTGCCTAGAAATTCGGCTGCATTAGTGTCATTAGAGTTGAAAGCAAACACGAATTTGTAGCAAAAATACAGCAAAAAAATAGGGCCAAATTTAAGGCAAAAATCGATGCCAAAAACTTGAGCATAGTGACGCCCAAAATCCTCACAGAATCTGACAGAAACAAATCGAATAGTTTGAATAGAAATTGCAACAAGATTACGGCAGAAAGAGGGACACTTTTTTTAGGAAACGCATCTAGAACAAAATTCGATTCAGGTCGCCTCCCGGCCAGCCGCTCAACACCACGAGGAGGCGATGCCCCAATTGACAGCTCCACCCGGTGCCCAACCCAATCGTCCCCCATCCACTCAACCCTATGTCTCTTATCCGAACGATCCATCGGCTTTCTATACGCTCGGCGGTGAGCACAGGCAAAGGAGGAATCCGTTGTGAAAAGGATAACGAATTTCTTTGAATTTGAATTCTAAAGTTGCCTAATTTCTGATCTAACAACTCACTGCATGTCTTGTTTCAAGTTAAACGGCTATTTATAGAGGAAATTTTTTGTAGGATCTTGTTAATATAGACGAAAATCGCTCATCCAGACAGAGTGGTGAATTCTAAAGATACTGTAGTCTACAAAGACCTACAGTACCCTAGTTTGTGTACTCCAGGTCCAGCCACTTGTCTCACTACAGTATCCAGCTGAACACTGAATATCTTGGCTTCATTTGAAGAATTTGAAAGATATCAATCTTGTCAACTGAATACTTTTAGTCCGGTTTACTGTAGTGGGACTAGTAATCGAGATTTTACAGTAATTTTTGAATAAGTCCTTTTTCCACTGAAATGTCACGCAATTGACGGATTAGAATGCATGGGCTACAAAGATATTTGAGAAGATTGAAACTTAGCTTTTAAGTTAAGTATCAAACTTTTTGTGATTAATCCATCAAAATCACTTTGGTGCTAGAAAACTTGAAACATCATTTTGGGAAAGTTGCCTTTTGATGTTTTGCTGTCTCAACTCCCGTGAACACTCAATTTCTGGTGCACTGAATTCCTCGATTTCACCAAATCGTTGCTGTGCGCGACAAAAACGGGTGCACCAGAAAGGTGATGTTTACGAGATTTCTGGACACAAAGAAGAGATCAAATAAACCCAAATGGTGAATTGTAAGTCAAAATTAAGCTTAATAGTTGAACATTTTGAAACTTGAAACTTCAAAATTGGATTGAATTGGATTGGATCGAAATTGGATCCAATTCAAGCTTATTGAATTGAATGACAAATCACAAATCACAAATCACTCCCTAAAACCGGATCATTCGCCATTAACTTTGAAACAAAACAATTGTTTTTTTTTCTGTGAAATTCTCATAAATTTACCTACAAATTTGCTAAAAATTTCATTTTCTTTTGATTTTCAAAAATTTTTTTTTTTTTGACCAGATTCTGTTCAAATCTCAGTATTTTTCTTCGCAAATTTCCCATTTAAAATTTCCTAAAATTTCATTGCTTCATTGCCAATCTTCAAAAAAGACTCAACTTTTGTTTAAACTTTTCAATTTGGAAACATTCTTTATTTAATTTTTGCTTTATCCCTCGAAAATTCCATTTGATTTTTAAAATTTTTCAGAAAAATCCTTGCTCGAAACTTGTGATTTTACTGGTTTTTATTCACTTTTTATTCACAAATTTTTTACCGAAAAAATTCTCCAAAAATTGCTCATCATCACTTTTTTTTTGTTTCAAATTTCAAGCTGCTTAATATTGTTTAAAATCGAATTTTTTAGTTTAATTTAGTAAATTTCTGTTAAGAATAAGTGCCAAAGTCGGTGTCCCGTGAGAATTTTTTCTTTTTTTTGTCCCACTTTTTTTTGTCCGGCTTTTTTTTTTGCCTTTTTCCTTTTTCTGAAGATTTTCTTTGTGAAAAGAAATGTGATTATTTTCTTTGGTGGTCAATAAAGTTTGTTTCTTAAAGTTGCAACAGAGCTATGATTCAAGACACACTCAAAAACTAGCCTTGGCTAGGTTCTTGAGTAGTTGAGGAGACTTTTGAATGGGTAGTCAAGCTCTAAATGTTTAGAAAGAATAAATTCGTCTATTTTTGGCTATATTCTAAAAGAATATACATTCCAGGCTTTCAGCCAAATGAAGCCTGATTGGATAGATTAGAGCCAAGAGCCAAAGCGACATAACAACGACTTGTAGCCATTCGATTCTCTCGAAACTGATCTATCCAATCAAGCTCCATTTCGTCCCGTTTGAAAGGCTAAAATGCATTCTTTGATCCAAAAAAAGACGAATATATTGTTTCTGTAGTAAGTTATAAATAATTAGGCCTTGACTACCCAATTCAGTCCCCTAAACTACCCAAGGCCCTTCAACATTAATCGTTTTTCTTTGCAACTAGGCCTACTTATTTTGAAACTCGACTTTCCCCGATTACTTTTTGCAGACGATTAACCATTTTTTAACGTGATTTACAAGAAATTGACTCACTGGCTAGATCTTGCTTTTAGTCTAAGAGAACAAGCAGATATTTGAAATTTTTCGAACCTTTAAAACCCGAACTTTTTCTACAAATTCAAAAATATCGCTCAACTTGTTGTGTCTTTTTCTGCTTTATCTTTTTCTTCCCTTTCCCCCAACTCGAACTCAAAATTCAAACTCGAAACTTGAACCAAATATTTATTCCACAAAAAGAAAACGAGCTATTTCTACAAATTTCCATACAAATACAAGTTTCTTTTTCAAAAGAATACTAAGATACCTAAAACGACAAAATTCTGGTTCTGGACAATACTGACGAAAAATTCCTCTTGAAAATTGAAAATTCGAATTTTTCAACGAAATTTTACGATTTGCGAAGAAAATCAGAGCTTTTGAGAGACAAAAATCGAGGTTTTTTGGCTGCAAAAATTGAGAAACATGATTTTAATAAACAAAAAAAAATCGAGGGATTCGACGGACGGCTTTTCCGCGTTTTTCCGGAAAATACTGCCGGGATTTTGAGTTTTTTCATCAATTTTAAAAGTTTGGACTAAAGATTTTTGCTTTCAAATTTATAAATTCGAATTTATGAACCAAAAATTAGCAAATTGATGTATTTAGAGATGAAAAAATTGAAAAAAAAGTGAAAATTTGACAGTTTTGACGTCAAAAAAAAGGGTGTTTCAAAGATTTGCAAGAGAAAATCGATTTTTTCTTTGCAATATCTGACTTTTCCGTCTTTTTTGTAAAATTTCCCGAAACTTCTTTCTTTCAAAGCATTGTAAAACTCAAAACCCAAGAATCCCATCGAGTTGCATTTTTTTGCAAAAACAGGGAAAAGAAAAGTAAAATCCACGAATCACTCTTTCAGTCCACGTCTTCGGATGAAAGTTTCGCTTTAAAACAAAGAATTTTCATATAATCACAAATTTTAGACACAAAAAATACCCGTTTTAATAAAGGAGCCTCAAAAGGAGTTGATTCACCCCTTTCAGCAAATCCGTTTTCGAAAATTCACCCAATTTTAAGCCAAAACTACCGTAATCCCCGTCATTTTTCGCAATTTTTCATTTGAACAGCCATTTTTTTTGTCAAATTGACTGTGTCTTCTGATTTGAACATCGGATTTGAACAAAATTGGGCTGATTAAAAGGAAAATGGAAAGTGGATTACGGTAGTGTTTTGACTGAAATGAATGCCTTTTAGGAAACGGATTAGCTGAGGGATGGACTCTAGTGAGTAGTCTCTAATGACAATCAATTCTTTTTACAATGGCATACTCGGAACAGGCCCTCGATTCCCCACCAAATCCTCGGTCGATCCGAATTGACAATTCGCTAGGCGAACGCTTTTCAATTGTGATTCGACTTTGTGCAAATCGGCGAGGATTTGTTGATCCCGTTCGCGCATTAGAGTCTGAAATTTATAGATTTCGTTTATAGATTTATAGATTTATACATGTTGTGTCCGATTTAGATTTCCGTCCGATTTAGATTCAATCTAAATCTTATATAGATTGAACAATAATATAAACATGCTTAATATATGTTCTTAAGCGTTTTCTGTAGTTTTCTGCATTTTTCAAAGTTGAATATCAACAAAAGACCTTTGAAAAATGCAGAAAACTACAGAAAACGCTTAAGAACATATATTAAGCATGTTTATATTATTGTTCAATCTATATAAGATTTAGATTGAATCTAAATCGGACGTCCGATATAGACTGTAATCTAAATCGGACGTCCGCGATAAGTTCAATCTAAATCGGACACAACATATATATTTATAGATTTATAGATTTATGGATTGATAGATTGATGGATTTATGGATTTTTAGATGAAATTCCGATTTATAGAAACGCAACTTTGTGAAAGATTTGAAAGATTTATCTTAGATTTGATAATTTTTAATAAAATTTCAATTCTGAACTTTATTCAAATCCAAAATATTCGCAATTTCCTTTTTTTTTTTCATAAAAGCCAAGCATCAAGCAAAAATTGATTTGAAAGTTTTGCAAAATGTAAAATGTATCCTGAATAGACGTATTGCTTTTTAAACTGACCATTTCGCGACGCAGCTGCTCGAAAACCTCATTCCAGTTGCCGTTCGGTGGAATCTAAAGAGAGATTTTTTAAGAAGAAAAGAGCATGTTTCAATTTTTTCACCTTTACATCACTGATTTCTCTAGTCTGTCTGGCCAAAAACCATAAACTATCGTTTCCTCAATAGATTTTGCTCTTTTTATTTTTTTATTTTATTCCAAGATTTCAATAGATTTCGGTATCAAACAAATGCCTTTTCTCCCAGAAGCCGAGCACTTTGAAACATGCGTTTTTTTAATCTCTAACTTTATTTGAAAGAGTTATTTTCCTGTAAAAATTCGAATAGAAGTCTCTTTTTTGTTTTGAGCTTTTACCGTAACTCAAAAATTGCCAGAAATACCTATTTTACATTTTTATTAATGCAGGGATCTTTCGAAAAGGAACGTGAGCACAGGCGAGACCTCTACAATCAGATCTGATCAGAGAACGGGGTGGATGAGGGAACTAGAGAGGAAAAGATTGCTTAATGTTTGGAAAACGATTGTTGAAGTGAAGAGAACGACGATGAACCATTTGTGCTTTTCCGAAAGCGCAAGACCTATTCAAAAGAGCTCAAATTGAAAGCTGTCAAATCCGATAAGGATTTTTCGATTCATGCGGCTGCAAAGAAGTATCGAGTTGATTGTGCAATGCTTCGACGATGAATTGGACAAGAGACAAAGCTTTTGCAGCAAGAAAGCCAAGGAAAGCGTTTGAAAGGAGTGGTTGTCGTGTCGTTTGATGTCTATTGAGCTGGAGAACGGGTTTCTCACGAGGAATCTTTCACAAAAATTTGTCCGATTTCCAATTTTTGCATTGAAAAATAGAAACCCTGGGACTTCTATTAGAATAATTCTGGTATTTTACTGATTGGCTATTTAAATATCAACTCAAAGCTTAGAAGCTATTTAAATATCAACTCAAAGCTTAAATTTGCCCAAAATTTTGGCACTAAACAATAGTTTTTTTGATACCTAAATGTTTAAATTTAGTCGGCTTTACGTTTTTGATAGTGATAGCTATGTAATTTATGATTTTTTGAGTGTTTCGCAATAAAACTATCGTAACTTATTAGCCTTTAAACAATTGTTATCAATTTTTTTTTCTAAAATACCTGAACATGTGGCTTTTGGTCTCCACTCGAGTCCCTTTTCGACGATGTCGAGGTGGATGGTGAAGTGGATGAGGTGGGCGATGAAGAGGATGGAGCCGAGTCCATCGACTCGTCCGGTGTTGATGAGCTGGAAATTTTAAAGTTCAAAAGTTTTCTCAACTCATTCAAGGCCCCGGTTTTCCTGTGCGTTTGGCTCACCCAAAAGTCAGACTTGAATCTGACGTCTGACCGGGCCCTAGTCTTGCTGGCTTTTAAACCAAATTTATTTAAAAACGAACGTCGATATGTTTATTTTAATGACAATTGCCTAGTTTCTTTGCGGTTTGCGAAAATTTTGGACACACAAGCTCTTTTCTGTTCAGCTCATTGTTGCCTTTTTAAAAAAACTATTAGCTTTTCGGAAACATAAAAGTTTTTTCTTTGCAATTATCAATTTTGAAGAATTTTTTTGTGAATTCGGTTATGATTTAAATTCGAGATTTGGTGGTTTTTGCAAGATTTTGCAAAGAGTTTTGGAAAATTCAATAAAGAGATCTATTTATTGGATCAATCGAACAAGATTGACTTTCAGAAACTCATGGTTGATGATGATTTTGAAACATAAATTGAGTATTAAAGAGCTCTCTAGAGTTGATGAGCTTTAGAGGGTTTGGATTTTAAAAGTTGATGTTTAAATGTTTAAAAAAATCAATAATATCGCCTGAATCTTTGTAAAAGTATATTTAAAAGTATAAAAGTACAAAAGTACAACAGTTAACCAAAGTACCATCGCCATATCAATCTAATTTTGAAACACGAAAATTTTCTTCACTTTTCTGCTAACATTAAAGCTATTAGCTTTCGAGAACTTATGTGAAACTTAGCTTTTAAAACTGTACAACAATCGAGCATTTGAAAAAGTTCTTTGGAGTCGTTGATCGATTAAATTTAGAAGTTAGTAAAAACTTTGATTTCTTTGAAATTTAGATATTGTTGGGCCCCAACTCACCGATCATCGACCCCACTGTCCGGCTGACTGTCCGCGTATTTCGGGTAATGCAATGTCGTGGACAAATTCAACTCATTTCGATACGTTTCCACTGGAGTACGGTAATTTGAGCAATACGTAGAAAACGATGAATTGTACAGTGGCTCATCACAATCGTCGGATGAAGAGAAACGGGGTGGCTCGCGGTAACTGAAATTTGCAATGAAAGGTTATAAAAGGTTGTGTTTCAAAAAGGCTACCGTAAATACTGTAATAGTACCCCACCCTCCCCTCGTACAGTAGCGTAGTCGCAAAAGTTTTTTAGTGTTTCATTTTTTCAAGGCACCCGTACTTTCAAAAAAGGCGTCTTTGGTATCAAAAAATAGCCCTGAATTTCAGCTATTTTTTTGATACCAAAGCACGCATTGTAGCATAAACCAGTGTCGAGAAAAACGCGTCCAAAGCTAGACTACGCAACGGTCCGCACCATCATTATGGGGATGGGGTACAATTGCAGTATTTAAGGTAAGTTCAAATTTTATTCTTCAAGTTGGTGCTTGAAAAACGTTTAGTTTAGGTTTAAAAAGATAACTCTTTGTCAAAGTTCGAGTTTCAAAATGAACAGCGTTTTAGTGTTTGAATTCTTTTTGTTCATCTTTCAGTTTTCACTAGACTCTCTAGATTAATAACGGAGACTAATAATAGACTAATAGACTAATAGACTAATAGACTAATAGACTAATAGACTAATAGACTAATAGACTAATAGACTAACAACTCTTTAGACTTTTCGTCAATTCAAGGTCTGTTTTGTTTAAAGAGTTCACAGAAACGAGTATTGTTTCCATGTTTTTTCATGATTATAAATGTTTCAAAGTTGTCTGAAGGCAAACGGATACATTTTAGTCGAATTGGATGAGGCTGGCTGTTGATTTAAAGTCTAAAGTTGACTACGGAACTCTTTGAGATGTTTCAGGGTTGTTGGGGTTGATTTGAAGTGTGACACAGTTGTGATTAAAGGTGGTTGATGGTTCAAAAACAACAATACCTTTATGTTAAATGAATGAGGCTTTAAGTTGAGGCACTTTAAAAGCTGAAAAGCTTGTTACCGGAATTTTGTAGCCATATAGCATATCTTTACTTTTTCTTGTTTACATATTCAATTCAACTTTTTTCACTCACCTAAAATCGAAAAACGGTTGCACATTCGTGTGACTCGGCATCGTTTGATCGACTTGTGGCGATTGTGGCGATTTTTTCGGCAATGTCGCTGTCGAATAAATCTTCTTGAAGAATTTCTTCGTTGCGCGGAGAAATCTGGAATAAAAAATATGATTTTAGTCTTCATTCTCTTCATTTGAGTCTTCATTCTCTTCATTTTAGTCTTCATTTCTTAATTTTAGTCTTCATTCTCTTCATTTGATCTTCATTCTCTTCATTTTAGTCTTTATTTTCTCAAGCTAAGCTCAATTTACTATTTTTGAGCCCAAGTTTTCTTTGGGAAAGGCTTTTTTTTTAAAACTGAAATCTTTGAATCGTTTTTAATGAATCGGCTACATTACTCAAGCTTTAAAGAACTCAAAAGTCCCTCTTCAACACATTCGCTTATTTCGGGTGTACAGTCGCGTAGTCGTTAACAGTTTTACTGATAATTTGATGTAAATTCAAAGATAAACTAAACTATTATAGCTCATTCGATAGCCCTGAATCTCCTCTTGAAAACTAGTACAAAGTTACCGAGAGCTTTCTGCGAAATAAATAAGAAAAGTCTTTAAAAATAACAAAAATAATCGTCATTAGTACGACGATTAGGTGAGCCAGATTGTCGTGCGAATGTGTTAAAAATGATTTTATTAAATTTCTAGTGATGGTAGCAATAGCCTTATTATATTAGCCAACCATTTTTACCCCATCATTTTTGAAACTGACTTCACGTTGCCCGGCTGGTTGCCGTTCGGATCGGCGCGCGTGAATGGCGAGCGCATGTCGACCGGTTGATGGACACGAACTGTGGCGTCAGCTCCTGGAAATCGCAACTTGAGATATTACGAGAAAAATAGACAATATAATTGGCTATTGCTTAGAGTCGCCCGGCTCGAAACCCAACTTTTTCTATTCACTTTAGATTTTGAATTTTCAAGGGAACTTCTGAGCTAATCCATTTCCTAAAACGTGTCCCCTTTTCCCTTTCCACCGTTATTTTGTCTCTATTTTTACCGAGTCTATCCACTTTTTGTGTAATTATTTGAGAGTTCACAAAGGATATCGAAAGATACAAAAAATGGATAAAAATTAGCCGCAAAGGAATCAGATTAAATGCAGCCTGCCAAATAATAAATCGCCAAATTTGAAACATCAAAATTTTTTTTAACTTGCAGTCATCCCGAAAAGCTTAAAAAAGAGAAACCGATGAACGAGAGCATTGACAATTTGTTGCAAGGAATCAGGTTTGCAAAAATTTACGTTTAAACCATTTAGTCTCAAGACTCATAAGGCTCGGATTCAAATTTTGAAATATAAAGTCAATTTTCAACTGAATCAGCTCTAAATCATTCAACTAAAACCTAATAAAATTGTTTCATTGAATTTAATATTGTAAAAGTTTTCAAAATTCTTTTTAACAATAATCGGATTCGTAAAAAGTACAGTTGGCTCACTTTTCAAACCATTATGGACTCGGCTTTGATATTTTCCAATAGCAAGTTTCAAGTAACGCATGTATCAAGTAACAATGTGAACTTTAATAGACCGACACCAGTTGTTTAGTACAGTCAAATGTTATTGGATCTGTCTAGGAAAATAAAATTTATGACATTTTTCAACATTTGAATTTAAAAGCAAAAACGTTCTTTTTATGTGATTTGACTTTGAGATTCAACGCTTTATATTCAAAGGTGAAATTTAAAGTCAAGTTTCAACTTGATGACGGGAACAAGATTTAGGAGACGGATTAGTGGAGAGAACATTTTCTGAACAACTGAGCCTTTCAAAAATGTCGGTTTCAAGCTTCGCGGCCCCGGGGAGCTCAAGCCAGTCATCAATGTATTCGCGCTCTCCCAAATCCCCTTCCTGGCGCACTCAATTCTTTCATTTTACCCTTGTGTCCCCAAAACATTGCTATGAGGGGAAAATGGAAGAAAGGGAGTGTTTGCGAGATTTGAGAGCACAAAGTCTAGCTCAGAGATCAATTCACAGTACTCACCGGCACTCTGACTTCTGTGCACTCTGGTTGCTTTATGTTGGGCGATGTCCAAACGTCCCTCTCTTTTCCCTTCTCCTCCGTGTCTCGACGCTGCGCCCGGGCCGGCTTGCTGGCTCCCACTCCACACTGGGTAGGGTTCTGGAAATTGGGATATTTTAAAAAAGATCGATAGTTTAATTGTTGAACAAGTTTTTGGCTTATTATTGAGAGAAGTTAATAGTTGTAAAGACTAAAAAGAAGAATGACAAGTGATCTAAAAAGTGATGTTCCAAAGATCTGGGAATCAGGTCCATGCAAGCAAAGCTAATGCCTTAGAAAAGCTTTTGGAAAAAGTCAAACGGCAAAGCTAAGCGGGTTGGAAAAAGTCAAACGAAGAGTTAAAAATCAGGAGAAAAATCAAAATTTGAAAAGCTAATGCTTCGAAATGATCAATAAGAGCAGCTTAAATTAAATTCAGAGTTCAAACAGAACAAAGTTCAATAAATATTTCAAAGTTTCAACATGTTTGACATTAAACCAAGTTTAAGAGTTTTAATTATTACAGTCGAAAAACTATTCAGTAATTTGCAAAGCAGATGATAAAAAGAATAAAGATATTTAGTTAACGAAAGCATCTTACAGTAGTCGTTTGTAGCAAGGCAAAAAAAAGTTTCAAAGGTTTCAAGGGATCAAGTTGAACTTTTCTAGTCAAAAAAATCCAAGACACGTTGACAAAATATTGACAAAATATAAGTCTTGAAAAAGAAATTCAGTTGATATATCTTATTTTTACGATTCAAGCTTATTAATCTCATTGATACTAAAAGAAATTCAGGGCTAAAGTAGAGTTTTAAATTTTGGTGTCATTGTTTGAGAATCACCGCAAAAAGTTGCTTGTTTAGCATTTGAAAAGATAACTTTAAAAAGTAACTTTTCAAAAGCAATGTTTCAATTACTTTAGAGTCAGAGTTGACAAAGCAGCTTCTAATTTTTTCGATCCACTTGCAGCGTGTAAAAAGATTGTCTCAAAGGTTACAGAATCAGCTCGTGTTCGATGTTTTTTTCAACGAATCTTTCAATATTTTTAAACAAAAGAGCTGTTGTAGAAAAAAAAAATTTATTCGAAAATGATTGTTTCAACCTGGTCCGGATCAAGTTAGGTTGAGATTTTTTAATCAAAAAAGTTCTTTTCGTGCAAGAACCATTCAACTTTCTGGTTATATTCTCGTAACTTAAACGCCGTAACTATGAATTCGAGCCTATGAATTCTGCTCTTCTGCGTAGATCTCTTAGCTTAATCTCGTAAATGATAGCCGCTTTAAACTATCAATACCGTATTGTCTCTAATAGTAATGCATCGTGAGCTTCGCCTAAATTGCTCGAAATCTCAAAAGCCGCTTATCAGAACCTATCGATGTGGGGTCGGAAAATGTAGCTGATGATGAGATCTGGTGGGGGATTTGAGTGTTGAGCTTCTGCAAAAGCTTGGGAACCGTAAAATAGTCACCAACTTGGCTCGTCGGGGTGCACTAGTACTTAAAAAAACACTAATGACATCAAAAAAACAAGTGCGGGTATATAAATGGAAAGTATTTAAGAAAATCTAAAGATTCTAAAGGTATTTAGCTAAAAGAACAACAAATTTTCGTCTTATTATTGAAGACAAGCAATTGCCTTATAAATGACCTCGAATGGGTCGATTTGTGGACGATTGTTGGCTCTTTGAGGCTAAATGCGATCACAAGGTCAATTCCTCCGAAAGATGACAATAATAATAGAAAAATAGAGATTTTCGGGATTTAGAATAAAGTTCGGAAGCAAGGATTAGCTGATTTCAGGTAGAACACGGCAGCACTGGCGAATTAATGGAAATAATGCTCTTTGATACTGGTTAAAGTTGAAACTTGAAGTAGAATTTGGTCAAAATGAGCCTATTTCTCTCTTGAAACGTCTGAGATAGCAATTTTGAAGCAAGTTTAGCAATTAGAGGAAAGAATTGGTTCTTGAGTGGGCTTTGGGAATAGGAATTAGTCGATTTCTGGTTGATATAAAGTCCTCATCACATTAAAGCAAACAGTTTTCATTGGTATCAGCTCTCAGTTGAAAATTGAAATTCAATTTTGTCAAAACGATACCCGCTTTTAGCTTTAGAACGTTGCAATAGCTATTTTAAAGGAAAAGGAAACTTGAAAATGATGTTTGCCCAAGAAATTCGCATATTGTGAAGAAATTTCTCGTTTCTTTCGTTTTCGTTGAAGGTCAAGACATTTTTAAGGGCCACATATGGTCCAATAACTCATCCCCCACCAAATGTGTCTCCAATTTGCGAAAGCAATTTACATTTTGGAAAACGGAGAGCAAATTTGCATTTTGGATAATAGATCTGTAAAGAAAAATGAGTAAAAAATCGCTTACTTTTGATGTGTACTTTGTGCTCACAAATCTCGTAAACCCTTCTTTCTGATGCACTCAATTTTTCCATTACCCCTCACAGAAATGATTTGGTGTGAAGAATGGAAGAATTCAGTGTACCAGAAAGGAAATGTTTACGAGATTTCAACTAAAATCACTAAAGCCACAGAATTGTAAAAGTAAAGCTTCAAAGGGTTGAAAGATCAAAAAGGTGAACAGGTTGTAAACAAGGAAATCTCGGAATTGCTCAATCGCCTTGTTTGGCATTCAAAGCCCTCTTGAAAAAGTTGTTTACTCACAATTTGCATACGATTTTAGAAAGAACCCAAAGCTATAGGGAAAAGAATTGAAAGCTGATACTTTTCTCGCTGGCAAAATGGTTTAAAGAGCTCTCCATTTGAGGGAAAGATTCGGATTTTCATTCGTTCAGCATAAATGAAACATAAACGAAAAAATTGAAAAGAAAAAAACTATACAGTGTCTCACTATAGTAAGCCAAAAAGCTACAGTTAAAGCTGATTGATTGAAAGATCCCAGCTTCCCAGCTAATTGGAAAATCCCAGCTTCCCAGCTGATTGAAAAATCCCAGCTTCCTGTCTCATTTTAGTAGAATGAGAAGTATTTAGGGCCCTGTTTCACTAAAAATCTTGCCAGCTTGCAAGCTTGAACTTACTAACGCAAATGGCATAGAACTCAGAGCGCCCATTTTAAAACATAACTATTTTTACTATCTACCATAAATACTCTAATACAACGCCACCCCTATAATGACGGGCGTACAGTCGCGTAGTCTAACTTTGAACGTCCCGTTCTTTGCGCTGTTTTATGCTACAGTGTGCGCTTGAGTATCAAATGATAACCCTTGAAATCTAGCATTTTTTGATAACAAAAGTGTAGCTAGAAAAATCTAGGGCCGAGAAAAAAAAGATTTTCTAAAAAGAAGTTAGACTACGCGACTGTACGATGGCGTGGCGTTCTGTTAGAGTATTTATGATAGTTCTATTCGAGTATTTTTGCTGGTTTAAATGAAATAACAGTTTTGATAGATTTCCATAAGCAAATTGAATTTGAAAAGGAGTTTAAAAATACCAGGAAATGATACAATCGATAAGGAACACCCCACACTGAGGTTTCCATTTTCATCTAAATGCAACCAAAATTGAAACTCGATTTTTTTTGTCAGTTTAAAAACTGATTAAATTTAAACCTATGTCAATACCATTGATTCATTAGCCGATTGCGGAGTTAAATTTCAACATTTTACTCTATGCTAATAAACAATTCACATACTAGATAAGGAAATCAAATCTTGGACCCCGAAAAATCTTAAAACCATAAATTTCACCTAACATCTATCAATGCCATTTTTTGTTTGCCATTACCGGTTTATTTGCCCAAATTTGGTTTGACTCCATTTCTTTTTTTTCAGCAAATAAGCGCCCGGTTTTCTTCATAGATTTTTGGGTCTTCTACCTCTGAAAAACTGGAAAATCGAGCATTTTGGGTAAAGCTTGTTGGAAAGAATTGAAAGAGGTGGGAAAAATATATAGAAACCAGCTTGGTTTGATTAATTTTTTGAGAATATAATTTAAATTATCTAAAATTGAGCTCAAAAGTTACAAAAAGATTATAAACGAAAACCTTGAAAAATCTAAAAAAACAATGTTTCAAATGAAAGGATATGGGAAAACGTTCCGAGATTTTAGTCGAAGGGGATCCTGAGGAAATTTGATTGATTTCGAAGCTAAATCGAATTTAAGCAAATGAAATGAAAAAAAAATCGATTATGGCAAAGGAGATTTGATTGAAATCGAATGGAAAGATCTGGAAATTTCAAAAAATTAAAAAAATTAAATTAAACGATAATATAAAGTAAAATAACAGAAAATGAATCAAAAAATGGATAAAAATTGTTAAGTTTCAAGCTGTCTGGGTAGAGAGTTCTCTGCTTAAAGTTAATTGTTTTTTTGATATCAACATGAGCAAAAGATATTTTTTTTTGTTTTAATCACAATGTATAAATTGAATAAAGCTAATTTTTGGGTTTCAACTTGATCGAGACAAAAATTTCCTAAATTTTAACAATACGGTCACAGAAAATCTTTGTTTGACCACAAAAAAGACAAAAAAACTTTTTTGCAAACAGTCCTGCCCGCAAAAAGAAAGTAAAACAAAGTGAAACTGAACCTTGGAGAGAATTTTCTTTTTCCAATCGCTTTCCGAAAAAGAAATGATTGGGAAAATTTGTGTCTTAACATTTTTCTTAAGAAAAAACCTCTCTTTCTCATCTTTTTCAAGGAATTGCACTTTTGAGAGGATTACAATAGTTTTACTGGCACTTTCTTTGAGTCAATAGAATGGAGGAATTTGAAAAATTGAAATTTTTCTGGGAAAACCTTCAACTTTGAACGTTCTTCTTTGAAAAATTGCTGTTTTTACGCAAAAGAAATGAGCAGAATGGGCTAAATTCGATGAATTTTGCCATCTTTCAACAGATCGGTCAATTTTTGTTGCTTTAAAAAAGTTAGGTTTCAAATTGAAGAATCAATTTCGCTATTGCCAATAACCTAATAAAAAATACAAAAATAAAAATTACGGTTGAAATGAAAAATGGGGACAAATTTTAGTAAACGGATCATGAAAAGAGCATTTTCTGAGCTGTTTCAAAAATGAAAGTTTCAAGCTATAGCCTATACGGAGCTGAAGTCGATCATCAATCCGATTGCACTTCGAGAAATCCCGTAAAC